CACTCTAACCCTCACTCCAACACTCTCTAACGCTCACTCTAACCCTCACTCCAACGCTCGCTCACACTCACTCTAACGCTCGCTCACACTCACTCTAACGCTCGCTCACACTCTCTCTAACCCTCACTCCAACGCTCACTCACACTCACTCTCACGCTCACTCACACTCACTCTCACGCTCACTCACTCTAACGCTCACTCACACTCACTCTAACGCTCGCTCACACTCACTCCAACGCTCTCTCACACTCACTCTAACGCTCTCTCACACTCACTCTAACGCTCACTCACTCTAACGCTCACTCCAACGCTCACTCCCACTCACTCTAACGCTCACTCACACTCACTCTAACCCTCACTCCAACGCTCACTCACTCTAACGCTCACTCAGACTCACTCACTCTAACGCTCACTCACACTCACTCTAACGCTCTCTCACACTCACTCTAACGCTCACTCACACTCACTCTAACGCTCACTCACACTCACTCTAACGCTCACTCACTCTAACGCTCACTCACTCTAACGCTCACTCAGACTCACTCACTCTAACGCTCACTCACTCACTCTAACGCTCACTCACACTCACTCTAACGCTCACTCACACTCACTCTAACGCTCACTCACTCTAACGCTCACTCAGACTCACTCACTCTAACGCTCACTCACTCACTCTAACGCTCACTCACTCTAACGCTCACTCACACTCATTCTAATCCTCACTCCCACTCACTCTAACCCTCACTCTAACGCTCACTCACTCACTCTAACGCTCACTCACACTCACTAACGCTCACTCACACTCACTCTAACGCTCACTCACACTCACTCCAACGCTCACTCACACTCACTCTAACCCTCACTCCAACGCTCACTCACTCTAACGCTCACTCACACTCACTCTAACCCTCACTCACACTCACTAACGCTCACTCACACTCACTCTAACGCTCACTCACACTCACTCTAACCCTCACTCCAACACTCTCTAACGCTCACTCTAACCCTCACTCACTCCAACGCTCACTCACACTCACTCTAACCCTCACTCACACTCACTCTAACGCTCACTCACACTCACTCTAACCCTCACTCACTCCAACGCTCACTCACACTCACTCTAACCCTCACTCACACTCACTCTAACCCTCACTCCAACACTCTCTAACGCTCACTCTAACCCTCACTCCAACGCTCACTCACACTCACTCTAACCCTCACTCCAACACTCACTCTAACGCTCGCTCACACTCACTCTAACCCTCACTCACACTCACTCTAACCCTCACTCCAACGCTCGCTCACACTCACTCCAACGCTCTCTCACACTCACTCACTCGCTCACTCAGACTCACTCTAACCCTCACTCCAACGCTCGCTCACACTCACTCCAACGCTCTCTAACGCTCACTCACTCTAACGCTCACTCAGACTCACTCACTCTAACGCTCACTCACACTCACTCTAACGCTCTCTCACACTCACTCTAACCCTCACTCCAACGCTCGCTCACACTCACTCCAACGCTCTCTCACACTCACTCACTCGCTCACTCACACTCACTCTAACCCTCACTCCAACGCTCGCTCACACTCACTCCAACGCTCTCTAACGCTCACTCACTCTAACGCTCACTCAGACTCACTCACTCTAACGCTCACTCACACTCACTCTAACGCTCTCTCACACTCACTCTAACGCTCACTCACACTCACTCTAACGCTCACTCACACTCACTCTAACGCTCACTCACACTCACTCTAACGCTCACTCACTCTAACGCTCACTCAGACTCACTCACTCTAACGCTCACTCACTCACTCTAACGCTCTCTCACACTCACTCTAACGCTCACTCACACTCACTCTAACGCTCACTCACACTCACTCTAACGCTCACTCACACTCACTCTAACGCTCACTCACTCTAACGCTCACTCAGACTCACTCACTCTAACGCTCACTCACTCACTCTAACGCTCACTCACTCTAACGCTCACTCACACTCATTCTAATCCTCACTCCCACTCACTCTAACCCTCACTCTAACGCTCACTCACTCACTCTAACGCTCACTCACACTCACTAACGCTCACTCACACTCACTCTAACGCTCACTCACACTCACTCCAACGCTCACTCACACTCACTCCAACGCTCACTCACACTCACTCTAACCCTCACTCCAACGCTCACTCACTCTAACGCTCACTCACACTCACTCTAACCCTCACTCACACTCACTAACGCTCACTCACACTCACTCTAACGCTCACTCACACTCACTCTAACCCTCACTCCAACACTCTCTAACGCTCACTCTAACCCTCACTCACTCCAACGCTCACTCACACTCACTCTAACCCTCACTCACACTCACTCTAACGCTCACTCACACTCACTCTAACCCTCACTCCAACGCTCGCTCACACTCACTCCAACGCTCTCTAACGCTCACTCACTCTAACGCTCACTCAGACTCACTCACTCTAACGCTCACTCACACTCACTCTAACGCTCTCTCACACTCACTCTAACCCTCACTCCAACGCTCGCTCACACTCACTCCAACGCTCTCTCACACTCACTCACTCGCTCACTCACACTCACTCTAACCCTCACTCCAACGCTCGCTCACACTCACTCCAACGCTCTCTAACGCTCACTCACTCTAACGCTCACTCAGACTCACTCACTCTAACGCTCACTCACACTCACTCTAACGCTCTCTCACACTCACTCTAACGCTCACTCACACTCACTCTAACGCTCACTCACACTCACTCTAACGCTCACTCACACTCACTCTAACGCTCACTCACTCTAACGCTCACTCAGACTCACTCACTCTAACGCTCACTCACTCACTCTAACGCTCTCTCACACTCACTCTAACGCTCACTCACACTCACTCTAACGCTCACTCACACTCACTCTAACGCTCACTCACACTCACTCTAACGCTCACTCACTCTAACGCTCACTCAGACTCACTCACTCTAACGCTCACTCACTCACTCTAACGCTCACTCACTCTAACGCTCACTCACACTCATTCTAATCCTCACTCCCACTCACTCTAACCCTCACTCTAACGCTCACTCACTCACTCTAACGCTCACTCACACTCACTAACGCTCACTCACACTCACTCTAACGCTCACTCACACTCACTCCAACGCTCACTCACACTCACTCCAACGCTCACTCACACTCACTCTAACCCTCACTCCAACGCTCACTCACTCTAACGCTCACTCACACTCACTCTAACCCTCACTCACACTCACTAACGCTCACTCACACTCACTCTAACGCTCACTCACACTCACTCTAACCCTCACTCCAACACTCTCTAACGCTCACTCTAACCCTCACTCACTCCAACGCTCACTCACACTCACTCTAACCCTCACTCACACTCACTCTAACGCTCACTCACACTCACTCTAACCCTCACTCCAACGCTCGCTCACACTCACTCCAACGCTCTCTAACGCTCACTCACTCTAACGCTCACTCAGACTCACTCACTCTAACGCTCACTCACACTCACTCTAACGCTCTCTCACACTCACTCTAACCCTCACTCCAACGCTCGCTCACACTCACTCCAACGCTCTCTCACACTCACTCACTCGCTCACTCACACTCACTCTAACCCTCACTCCAACGCTCGCTCACACTCACTCCAACGCTCTCTAACGCTCACTCACTCTAACGCTCACTCAGACTCACTCACTCTAACGCTCACTCACACTCACTCTAACGCTCTCTCACACTCACTCTAACGCTCACTCACACTCACTCTAACGCTCACTCACACTCACTCTAACGCTCACTCACACTCACTCTAACGCTCACTCACTCTAACGCTCACTCAGACTCACTCACTCTAACGCTCACTCACTCACTCTAACGCTCTCTCACACTCACTCTAACGCTCACTCACACTCACTCTAACGCTCACTCACACTCACTCTAACGCTCACTCACACTCACTCTAACGCTCACTCACTCTAACGCTCACTCAGACTCACTCACTCTAACGCTCACTCACTCACTCTAACGCTCACTCACTCTAACGCTCACTCACACTCATTCTAATCCTCACTCCCACTCACTCTAACCCTCACTCTAACGCTCACTCACTCACTCTAACGCTCACTCACACTCACTAACGCTCACTCACACTCACTCTAACGCTCACTCACACTCACTCCAACGCTCACTCACACTCACTCCAACGCTCACTCACACTCACTCTAACCCTCACTCCAACGCTCACTCACTCTAACGCTCACTCACACTCACTCTAACCCTCACTCACACTCACTAACGCTCACTCACACTCACTCTAACGCTCACTCACACTCACTCTAACCCTCACTCCAACACTCTCTAACGCTCACTCTAACCCTCACTCACTCCAACGCTCACTCACACTCACTCTAACCCTCACTCACACTCACTCTAACGCTCACTCACACTCACTCTAACGCTGACTCACACTCACTCTAACCCTCACTCCAACACTCTCTAACGCTCACTCTAACCCTCACTCCAACGCTCACTCACACTCACTCTAACCCTCACTCCAACACTCACTCTAACGCTCGCTCACACTCACTCTAACCCTCACTCCAACACTCACTCTAACCCTCACTCACACTCACTCTAACCCTCACTCCAACGCTCACTCACACTCACTCTAACCCTCACTCCAACACTCACTCTAACGCTCACTCACACTCACTCTAACCCTCACTCCAACACTCACTCTAACCCTCACTCACACTCACTCTAACCCTCACTCCAACGCTCGCTCACACTCACTCCAACGCTCTCTCACACTCACTCACTCGCTCACTCGCTCTAACGCTCGCTCGCTCGCTCGCTCTAACGCTCACTCACACACAGGCTCACACTCACTCTAACGCTCACTCACACACAGGCTCACACTCACTCTAACGCTCACTCACACTCACTCTAACGACTCACGTAGATGCTGGGAGTGGGAGGATTGAGCTTGTCTTTATCCAGAGGAGGAGCAGGTGGAGGAGGGAGGCGAGGAGGAGGGCATTTGTTCAACAGGATTCGGCTGCTTGACACACCGTTCTTTCCAAGATTTCTGAAAATATTAATAATATTAGATAAAGTTATTTCTGCAGAATACAACAAATCAAAATGAATCATAACTGAAAGTTTGGTCAAACTCTCAACACCCTCAGAATCTCACTGTGGTCAGAATTAGTTTTGTGTGACATCATTCAAGCGCTTCAAAACAGTGCATATTTCTGTCTGTGCATACAACAATCTCAAAGTCTGATCCGCTTTCCCGTTACCCAGGTGTAATTGAGTTTTCCAAATACTTAGTGCTGTAGATGTACTTGTTTGAGATCAACCCCCTGGCGCCTGTGGAGCACTTTTATGATGGACAGATGCACTTTTATGATGGACAGATGCACTTATGATGGACAGATGCACTTTTATGATGGACAGATGCACTTTTATGATGGACAGATGCACTTTTATGATGGACAGATGCACTTTTATGATGGATGGATAGATGCACTTTTATGATGGATGGAGAGATGCACTTTTATGATGGATGGACAGACGCACTTTTATGATGGATGGATAGATGCACTTTTATGATGGATGGATAGATGCACTTTTATGATGGATGGACAGACGCACTTTTATGATGGATGGATAGATGCACTTTTATGATGGATGGATGCACTTTTATGATGGATGGATGCACTTTTATGATGGATGGAGAGATGCACTTTTATGATGGACAGATGCACTTTTATCATGGATAGATGGACTTTTATGATGGATAGATGGACTTTTATGATGGATGGATGCACTTTTATGATGGATGGATGCACTCTTATGATGGATGGATGCACTTATGATGATGGATGCACTTATGATGATGAATGCACTTTTATGATGGATAGATGGACTTTTATCATGGATAGATGGACTTTTATCATGGATAGATGGACTTTTATGATGGATAGATGGACTTTTATGATGGATAGATGGACTTTTATGATGGATGGATGCACTTTTATGATGGATGGATGCACTTTTATGATGATGGATGCACTTTTATCATGGATAGATGGACTTTTATCATGGATAGATGGACTTTTATCATGGATAGATGGACTTTTATGATGGATAGATGGACTTTTATCATGGATAGATGGACTTTTATCATGGATAGATGGACTTTTATCATGGATAGATGGACTTTTATCATGGATAGATGGACTTTTATGATGGATAGATGGACTTTTATCATGGATAGATGGACTTTTATCATGGATAGATGGACTTTTATCATGGATAGATGGACTTTTATGATGGATAGATGGACTTTTATGATGGATAGATGGACTTTTATGATGGATGGATGCACTTTTATGATGGATGGATGCACTTTTATGATGATGGATGCACTTTTATCATGGATAGATGGACTTTTATCATGGATAGATGGACTTTTATCATGGATAGATGGACTTTTATCATGGATAGATGGACTTTTATGATGGATAGATGGACTTTTATGATGGATGGATGCACTTTTATGATGATGGATGCACTTTTATCATGGATAGATGGACTTTTATCATGGATAGATGGACTTTTATCATGGATAGATGGACTTTTATGATGGATAGATGGACTTTTATGATGGATTGATGCACTTTTATGATGGATGGATGCACTTTTATGATGGATGGAGAGATGCACTTTTATGATGGACAGATGCACTTTTATGATGGATAGATGGACTTTTATCATGGATAGATGGACTTTTATGATGGATAGATGGACTTTTATGATGGATGGATGCACTTTTATGATGGATGGATGCACTTTTATGATGATGGATGCACTTTTATGATGGATAGATGCACTTTTATGATGGATAGATGCACTTTTATCATGGATAGATGGACTTTTATGATGGATAGATGCACTTTTATCATGGATAGATGGACTTTTATCATGGATAGATGGACTTTTATGGACTTCAAAACAGAAACGGTCATTCACGGCCATTATAAAGCTTGGAAGAGCCAGGACATTTTTTAATATAACTCTAGATTGTATTCGTCTGAAAGAAGAATGTCATATACACCTAGGATGGCTTGAGGGCGAGTAAATCATGGGCTAATTTTCATTTTTGGGTGAACTATCTCTTTAAGAATTAATTTGACCAATGAGCAGTTAGTCAAGGGGTAATCAGATATACTTTTCGGATTCTTATTAGACAAGTCTGCCTGACTAGTTATGATCAGTTTAAAGATAAAAACGAGATGTACCTGCAGGCCTTGAGGACGTCAGCGGATGTGGGGTAAATGGAGACGGTGGAGGACGAGAGCGTGGGTCTGTGAGGTGCTTTAGCGCACAGCTCCGGCGGCTCTAGCTTTAGCGGCTCCAGCTTCACTGGGCTTCGAGAGTCTTCCGAACACGCTCCTCCTCCACTTCCGTTAACGGTGACGGTGGAGCCGGGCTTGTTAAGGCTGGCCGAGGGCTCCACGGGTGACGGTGATGATGCGGACAGGGCGGAGGCGGGCGAGGAGGCGGTGGAGCTGCCCGGAGCCGTTAGCGTGGAGCCGGGGTGAACGTGGTTTAGCCGCGAGTTAACGGCGGGAATCTCCTTCCCCCCGAGCTGCGGATCGTGTGCCGGAGAGCCGGGCCTAGACCTGGAACCGGGACTGTGGTGCTGGGTGGCAGTGGAGCCGTTGCTCTCTTTGGTCGGGCCGGTGCCGTGGGGAACACCTGAGGTAGCCGTTAGCCATGAGGAAGAGGACGAGGACGAGGAGGACTGGTGATTGACAGCCGGCTCCGAGGGAGTCGTAGAGGAATGTCCAACCTGATTGTGAGGGCCACCGTCGGCTGAACCACTGGAAGAGAGAGTCCGGTCTCCATTAGGACCCGCCCAATGCGAACCTGGACCCTTCTGAAGCCCCTAAACCAGGAGAAGAGTCAAAAGAACAAGCATGAACGAGCCGAGAAACTGTATAAGCGCTGGTTTCAGTGGGTTTGAGAGTCAGGAAGAGAATGCTCTCGATGAAGGAACGCACTCAACACAAAGTGTGTAAAAATGAGATGCATAAAATGTTTTGCTTATGATCCTCCCATGATGTAGAAAGTTTAGCTGGGTATCAGAATTCATGCGTCATATGATAACAGGTTCAAAATGTGTGTTTAAAAAAAAAAAAAAATTTCATTTTTTTTTTTAGATATTAAGAGTTCCCTTTCATAGGTGTCTCAACACTGCGAATATTGCTATGGGAACACCTTTGGTGTGGACGAATGTCTGAAGCCCTTATACCATCACGCCAATTTGAGTAGCCAATGGCGCTTAGAACCACCCCAAGAATACGTATGCTTCATATTAGTGTGCTGCGCGCTATTTCCCCAGAAGGGGATTTTCTGTTACCCGTAGGAAAGCGTGTTTATGGTGTTCTTTGCTATAATTGAGAGCAGTTTTACCACTCCTCTCAAGCGGACATAAGATTCAAGAAATGCATCGAGCCGTGTGAGAGGTTCATCGCAGGACGAAACACTCATGACAGGTGCGTGCAATGTCTGGGTCTTGAACACGCCCAGGCGGCACTTAACAGCCTATCTGACGGTCGTCACTGGGATAGCCTGCGTTTGAAAGTTTTGCTCTCTAGACCCGCTTTCTGAGGAGAGAAGGCCTCACGTCTATCCCCACCTCTCCGTTTCTGCGGTCGCCGAGGCGAGACGAATGCTTGCGGTGACGATGATGAGCCCGAGCGCATGGAGCGAGCAGACGCAATATTCGCCCTTTCTCTCTCTCTCTCTGAAGCATACGTGACGTATTCTTAGGGTGGCACTAAGCGCTATATTGGCCAATCAAATTGGTGTGATGGTATAAGGGCTTCAGACATTCGTCCACACCAAAGGTGTTCCCATAGTGGTATTCTCAGTGTTTGCAGTACATGCGTAACCAAGACGTTCTGTTGATGTTGCACATTGAGGAAAACAGTAGCACAGACCAGATGCCGATAAGAGCTGGCATGATTAAACTGCTTCTGCACATAGGAAGATGAGTGCAAAAAAGTGCTGCACGGGGTGTAAAAATCCGTATCCCGGTGCTCGAGTTTATTTCATTATGGCTTTAGGCAATTAAAACACAGTTTTCAAATGCTTCTGCACAGAGTTCAGATAATGTAGTGAGTTTGTCATCTGAAAATATTTTTGGATAAATATGTAAATGGGGAGGATCAAGACCACGGGTTTCATCTGTGATGCTCCAGAAGCGGTTTGGCTTCAGGCTAGAGTGAGAAGCGCAGTGCTCAGACCTGAGTGGCGTTGAGGTTCTGGCTCCTCCACGGGTCTCCTGGGCTCCTGCAGTGGTGAGGTAGTGCGTTGGGGTGCAGGTAAGGCACGTCTCCGTTCGCTCTGCTCCCCGGCGTGTGATTATTGCCGACTGCAGGGGGTTGTGGGCCGGAGCGGGAGCCGGGACTGGGACTGGGAGGCAGCGGCCCGTTGGACAGTGGATGAGCGATGCAGGACGGGCGGGGAACCGGGCCTCGGGGACCAGGGTGAGCAGGCAGTGAGGAGACGCCCGAGGGCCCGTTGGGGAGAGAGGGTCGGATCGGGCCCGAGGAGTTCTGCCTCATCTGTAGGGAAAGGACACAATCGACTCTAAATATTAAGCAAGTCAAACAAACGCCTATTACAATCTAAAGGCCCGTGCACACCGGGACGATTATCACGCGATTATCAAACGCCACAGCGACTACAGCAATCTCGATAAGAGGGAGTTGTTGTGGAGAGGAATTGCAGATCAATTAGGATTCAGGGAGTGAATTTGCACGTTCACTCGGTGCATCGCCAGTGAAAATCGCTTGGTATGAACACACAGACGCACCAAAAACATCTCGAAAAACGCTGGCGATAAGCGCGCGCGATAATCATCGGTGTCCACAAGGCTTAAAGCTGCTTTTCCACCGTCGCGCCAGACCGGTCCATCCCGTGCCGATCCGGCCCAGCCGGTGCGGATATGGCTTCATTTTCACTGTGGTTTGATAACGGAGCTATGGAATGTTATACAGTCGTCAACATTTGAAGTGGATCAAAACCTTTCGTCAAAGTTACACATGAATTTTAAACAATACCCGTTCTTATCTTAGGACAACTTCGATTAACTTTTTGATCCACTACAAATGTTGAGCACTGTACGAATGCATCATGCAAGAGTTTACAGATGATATGAGATGTAATATAGATGATCAAATATTTCTTTTAATTTTACAGAGAAACATGTCTCCACACGCACTCCACCGGGTTCAGAACGGTGTGTAACCGAGTAAACAAACTCAAGTGGAAATTTACTGAAACCGTTCCGTGCCGTTCTTAGAAGAGTTCGACCCGACGGTGGAAGAGCGGCTAAAGTGTCACAACAGTCTTAAAGTCCCCCTGTAGTCAATCATTTTATCCCTTAAAACTCATCTTTGATCACCAAAATTACACATTTAAGAATTTTTTCCTTTTAAAAAAAGTTTTCATGCCTTAAAATATCTTGAATGTAACTCGACACCCTTGCCTCATTTAGTATGCGCGGTTATATGAATATGCAAATGAGCCCTGCCTCCACTCACTCACTCAGCTCAGAGATCCACTGGTTGACGATCACACGTTGATCTGATTGGTTACAAGGTCGTTTGTGACGTCAGAAACACCAGCGATTTCAAACCGTGTTTTTGAGACGGTCTTTGGTTCACTGCAGTTTTAAGGAGGAAATACTCAGCAATGCTGTCGACTTATGAACTTACACATGGTTTGTCTTAAAGCATATTAATAACACCACACAGACACATAAACAACATTGGATTTTCACCACAGGGGGACTTTAAGAGGAAAACACATCTCAGCCACAGAAAACCATGAGCTGGAAGATTTCAGGGCGCGATTCCCGGAACATGCGGGTTTCCTTCAGAAGGTTTTCCTGAGCGCTGTTGTGACGCACCTGTTGCTGGTTGTGACGCACCTGTTGCTGGTGCAGGTGCATGGCTGACAGCTGAGCCTCCAACTGATCCAACATCTGCATCTGAACAGGCTTCAGACTCGCACGGTTGGCTCGCAACTGTTCCAGCAACTGAGAGGAAGAGACATTCAGTGAACGGCTGAGTAAGAGAAGCACAGGCATTCATCAGTGTTCCTCTTGAAACGGATCAATAATAGTCAGGGACGTCACATCTGAAATCAACAGCATGGAAGTTCTTCAGTGAGAAGCAGCTCACAGGAACAAACCACCGTCTAAACCAGTGGAGCCCAATCCTGTTCCCAGTCCAGATCTAATCACACGCCTGAAGCAGCCAATCCAGGCCTCGGGATCCCTGGAAGCGCCCGGGCAGGAGCAGGATTGGACACGCCTGGTCTAAACCAACGTGATGTTACCCAAGGGGTGAAAACTAAATTAAAACTTTTTATGACTTTTGGCCGGTCATTTACACATTAACGGTGTTTCGGGGGCCTGAAAACCCAAACATTTGAAAAGGTTTTTATTTTATTTTTTATAAATGATAGCGTATCGTCTCTGTGGAGACTGCAACAACGTGAATTTGTGAAAACAGTGATGTCATGCGCATGCGTATTACACGTTCAGTCTGTAGACGCGTAGTGTTTCTTTACAAAGTGACATCGCCACCTACTGGCCCGGCAGCAGAATACACGAGAACGGGGATCGTTGACATCGTTGTGGTCTGAAAACCAAACCGCATTTTTAGTATATTGTTGTCGTGTAAACGTGCCCTAAGAAAGTAAAAGCTGGTATGAAATGTAAATTAACACAGTTTATTTTCTACATGCATGTTATGTCATCCACACGTTTCATTTAAAAAAATGTTTTGAGCTTTTAATGTTTAATCAGACTGCTGTAACAGTGAAGAGTCAGATATATGCAGGATTCTCCAATCCCTTAGTGCAACTAAACTCCACTCACCCTCATCTGCGAGTGCCACGCCCACATCTCAACGTCCAATCAACCACCGATGCACAGAGCCAAGTCCCGCCTTACATTTTTTCTTCTTTGATAATCGTTATAATCGGATGTAGGTCACAAAACGGATGCACAATATTTCGGCCACCATATCGGTATCGGCCGATATATGATCATTTTTAATGTTATCGTTTTCGGCCCAATAAGAAAATTTGGCCGATATATAATGTATTATTTCCTTCAGCTGAAACACTGTTCAACATGATGGTTTTAAATTGCTTGAAATATGATTGGAATCACTTCAAAAAAGGAAAATACAGTGAAGTGCAACAAGTCTGTCATAAAGGCGACATAAAATTATAACGAAAACATTATAATTGTGTTTGGGTCATGGCCTTTAATGGTGAGACTTTTGTTTTTATAATCAGGCTCTCAGAAATCATATAAAAATTTGTATTTAGATTTATCGGCTAATATATCGGTTATCGGCTTTCAAATATAAAGAATTATCGGTTATCGGTATCAGCCAAAATGTTTATATCGGTGCATCCCTACAGAGGGAAAGACCGGCCGCTACTCCTGTTCCATCGCAGCGGGTCATCAGCACTCGACCGCAGGCGAGCTCAGCACTGAGGACACAGCGTTCAGCACACACACACACACACACACACACACACACACACACACACACACACACACACACACACACACACACACACACACACACACACACACACACACACACACACACACACACACACACACACACACACACACACACACACACACACACACACACACACACACACACACACACACACACACACACACACACACACACACTCACCTGCAGCTTCTGAGGAGACAGGTACCAGTTCGGAGTGGCTGGCGGAGCTGCACTGTTGGTCCAAGACTCGGAGGAGCTCTGAGGAACACAGGACAGATCTCACAGCGCTCGCACACACACTGGCAAACCCCAGGACTTCAAGCACTACTTTTTTTTTTTTTTTTCAAGGACTACAATCAGAGATCTCGCTTGTCAAACTATATCTTTCTTTATTATCTTTTAAATTCTATTTTTTTTAAAATAAATACATACAAATAAACTAATAAAACAAGATGGTACAAATAAAGTGCAGCGGATGCAGTGACTGTGGAAACTTTAACCACTGAAAGGACACTATGAGTAAGATATCGCTTTCCTTATTCAAACTGATTTATTCTCACATGAACATATAATTGACTTGAAGAATCAAAGCTGTATCATATACTTGGATATTTATAAGAGCAATATCAAGCTCATAGCCTCCATATCAACATCAAACGGACTGCAGCTTTAATTCTGTATGAAAAGATTGTTTTATAATTTTTTAAAAATATATTTCCTTTATATTGTCTTTGAGCTTTGAGCACCGTGTACGAACCCTGTAATTACCGCTGCCATTATATCAGAGTCACATGACCGGAAGAGCCGAGCACAAACCTTGGCAGGGCTGCTGGTCCTCTTCCTCTTGGCTGGACTGGACGGGTCGTCGGCCTGATCCAGCGGACTCACGTGGGCCGGCAGAGACTGAGCCGAGCCCTGAGCCGAGCCCGACGCCCCGGGTTTACACGCCTGAGGGAGACCACACACACGTCAGGACACACACACTCAACACGTCTGACAGTCTGAAACTCTGGATTCGCTCAGTCAACACATGTAAAGTCGTCGATCAACATTCCTCCCAGCAGGCAGAGCTCAGGAGAGGAGTGGAGCTGCGAGAGGGCCGCTGACAGCACAGAGGGAGCGAGTGACGATCCCGCTTCAGCCTGAGCCGTGTGACCTCTGGGCCAGCAGCATCGCTAAAGGGACAGCTCACACACAAACGGAAATTGGAAGAGCCAGGATTTTTTTAATATATAGCTCCGATTGCGTTCGTCTTACAGAAGAATGTCATATACACCTAGGATGAGCTGAGGGTGAGTAAATCATGGGGTATTTCCTCTTTGGGTGAACTATCCCTTTAAGGTCTTTCTGGAGGGTTATCTTGTCAGAATTGGATCAGATATAGATTCAGTCGCCACAAAGATAAAACGGTAAACAAATCCTTTCAAACCCTGTTTAATGAACCATATTGTTGCTGTTTTACAGTATCAGAAACACTAGGAGTGGTTTTGCCCAGAGCGGGTTTGGAATAACTGGACTGAAACTGCACTCGATAATACAGGATCGGGTCCAAACCTCCGAGCGCTGCACAGGTACGCCTCACTTCACGTGTGGCGACTCAAATTCTGTAATTAAGTGTTTGAGGATCTTCTGTTCCTCAGCGAGGGCCGCTTCTCTAAGTCACATTCTCGTTTATGTTTTGGGAAATAACTCAGAGCCACATCTTTTTACCAGTTCTAGGAGTGGCCATATTGACTCCAATGTGAAAACAAAAACAGAATTAATAAAACAAACAGGCGCTGAAGGTCCTGATATATAATTGTGCCCCCCCCCCCTCACCCACCCAAAACAACAACAGAGAAAAGATGCAAAACAAATAATATAAAACACTTATTATGAGGGAGTGCATCAGTATCAATGAGAGACAAAAACACGTCTCATTGTACTGTCATGAACACACACACGCACACACACACACACACACACACACACACACACACACACTCGACTATGAACTACTCCAGCCGGACTGCGTCAGTGTTTGTTGTGGAACTGCAACACTAGAGGAACAACGACTGCAGGACTAATGACTACATCACAGACACAGCTCTGGGTGAAAAACGGCACATATGGGGCTTTCGCACCGGATAGCTCTAGACCGTAATAAAGTGATTAGCGTGTGTTTGATGTCCAGTGTCGCTGAGCAGAAACGCATCATCATGTTCCTCTCGGTCTCCTCAGCTCCTCAGTGTAAAGGTTGAGAGCTCCATCTATCTCTGCTTTACATGTTCGTAGAGTTAGTTTCTGGAGTAAATATAAAGCCTATAATCTGTGTGCTTTTTAATAATGGCGGGCGCTGGTGTTTCACGAGCGTTCAGCCAATCAGCGAACACTAACGTCACTGTAGTTCCTCGAGCGCTGGGTTAGAGCGACTCTGGAGGAGTAAAGTAGTTCCTCTAGCGCTGGGTTAGAGCGACTCTGGAGGAGTAAAGTAGTTCCTCTAGCGCTGGGTTAGAGCGACTCTGGAGGAGTAAAGTAGTTCCTCTAGCACTTCCTTGAGCGCTGGGTTAGAGCGACTCTGGAGGAGTAAAGTAGTTCCTCTAGCACTTCCTCTAGCGCTGGGTTAGAGCAACTCTGGAGGAGTAAAGTAGTTCCTCTAGCACTTCCTTGAGCGCTGGGTTAGAGCGACTCTGGAGGAGTAAAGTAGTTCCTCTAGCGCTGGGTTAGAGCGACTCTGGAGGAGTAAAGCAGTTCCTCGAGCGCTGGGTTAGAGCGACTCTGGAGGAGTAAAGTAGTTCCTCTAGCGCTGGGTTAGAGCGACTCTGGAGGAGTAAAGCAGTTCCTCTAGCGCTGGGTTAGAGCGACTCTGGAGGAGTAAAGCAGTTCCTCTAGCGCTGGGTTAGAGCGACTCTGGAGGAGTAAAGTAGTTCCTCTAACGCTGGGTTAGAGCGACTCTGGAGGAGTAAAGTAGTTCCTCTAGCGCTGGGTTAGAGCGACTCTGGAGGAGTAAAGCAGTTCCTCTAGCGCTGGGTTAGAGCGACTCTGGAGGAGTAAAGTAGTTCCTCGAGCGCTGGGTTAGAGCGACTCTGGAGGAGTAAAGTAGTTCCTCGAGCGCTGGGTTAGAGCGACTCTGGAGGAGTAAAGTAGTTCCTCGAGCGCTGGGTTAGAGCGACTCTGGAGGAGTAAAGCAGTTCCTCGAGCGCTGGGTTAGAGCGACTCTGGAGGAGTAAAGTAGTAAAGTAGAACTGAAACCCCTCCTAGTTCCTGCGGTGCGAACACGCCGACATCCGGGAACTCCCCAACAGCTCTGGGAACGGGGAAGAGGATCCTCCGGTGCGAAAGACCCTAATTACACACTTGTAGCATAAAACTCATTTCTGACCCAGATGTGTGTGTGTAGAGCTGCACTACTGAAGCTCACGTACTGAAACCACGCTACCGATCGACTCGCTGTTAAACTCTCTGGAAACGTAGAAATTAACCGAAGGATTCCCCAAACACTAACAATAGAGACATATAATTTGTGCAATCCAATGGTTACTGTGAACATGATGCGGCGAGCAGGAGCGTGGTTCCACCGGATGAGCCGCGTGCGTGTGTGTGTGTGTGTGTGTGTGTGTGTGTGTGTGAGGGGCGTTTCTCAGGGTGTGTGTCTATCTGGTCTCACCTGCTGGCCTGTGCTCTGGACACCCTGTCGGGACGTTAGCTCTGCTGGGATTGGGAGGCTCCAGGCTTCCTCAATACTAGGAAGCATTTTACTTTTACTCTGTAGACTATTGTGTTGGAGGTTACAGAACTGAGCCTAGGACGAAAACGCGTGAAAAAGACATGTAAACAGCCATCTGAGGACGAGCGGCGGAACAGTTCAAGCAGAGAGGCTAGCTCAGGCTAGTTCGAGAGGGCCTCAGCTGAATCAGGCTCTAGCTCCAATGATCACTGGACTCACGCATACAAACGAAGAATGAAGGTGAAGAAATCTGACACAAATTAACTGAACATATTCACAACAAATGCAACATGTACTGATCCCCACACAGACAGACTCGCTCTGATTGGCTCTCACCTGCAGGTACTTGATGCGCGCCGCGAGCGCCGCGGTGTTGCTGCAGGCTTTGCTGCGCGTGGCGTTGACGTAGCACTTGATGGCGTCCTGCGGCTGGTTGCAGGACTCGTAGAGCGTGCCCAGGTCCATCCAGGCCGCGGCGTGACTGTGGTCCAGCTGAACCGCGCAGATATACGCCTGCAGCGCGTCCATGGGCTGATTCTGCTGCTGATACAGCACGCTACGAGCACACGCTAGCAGGTTAATTACCTCAAACACATCCAACACCTTATTCCTGACCCGGGGTTTGAATTATGGGTGCCACTTCCGGTTTGGGGAACTTCCATTCAAAAAGACTGAAACGAATCATTTTGAATCACAGACCCAGTCTCGAGTCGCACGGCAGATCTGTGGCCATAGCAACCACACTGTACAGGTCAAAATTATCGATTTTTCCAAAAATCATTAGGATATTAAGTAAAGATCATGTTCCATGAAGATATTTAGTAAATTTCCTACCGTAAATATATAAAACATTTATGTTTGTGAGTGAATGCAGCAAATCACGAACATTAATGACCAACTTTGAAGGGGATTTTCTCAATGCTTTGATTTTTTTGCACCCTCAGATTTTCAAATAGTTGCATCTCGGCCAAATATTGTCCAAAATCTTAATTTAAAAAACTGGACCCATGTGACTGGGTTTGTGGTCCAGGGTCACATAAGGTTGCCCTACAAATAAAGCGGATCCATCAGTTTTCCTTCATGTTTTCCTTTCAGACATCATGAGACTAACGTTACACTTGGTATATTAGCGTGACAAGAACATCTACGGCAGGAGCGCTTCAGTCGCTGCTTTCCTTACTAACGATTCTTTTCTTTCCCTTCCGCTGTAAAAGTATGAAAAATGACAACATATTCTGCACATCTGTGGTCTGTTCTCCAGATTTAATTTACGATATATCTCATTAATAATTCACTGGAATGCACAAAGAATTTCTCGTTTTTCTCTAATCCTCACGTCTGTTTCCAGGTTTGTTTTCACGTGTCAATACAATTTATCATCTGTCAAAATGACGAATATCACTTTGAAATAGTATTACGCAATGCGGAAGTTAATGAACACTTTTGATTAAGGCAACTAGGGGTGTAACGGTACACAAAAATCACGGTTCGGTACGTACCTTGGTTTTAAAGTCACGGTTCGGTACGTTTTCGATACAGCAAAAAGAAAGAAATGCCAGAGAAATTTCTTATTTGTTAAAAGAAAAAATATTTTTAAATAATTGAGTTTTCCTACATCTTGAAACTTTCAGGTTTATAAATGGCGGTCATCTTTGAAGGATGAACAAATAATGTTTTGGTCATCACATTAAAAATAACATTTAAATATATATATATATATATTTATTTATATATTATTTGAGTTTTGAAGAGCTGGAAAAAGATGTGTGAAGTACTTGAAAGCAGTTCACTATTCCAGCCAAACTGGTTACAGTTAGTGTTACTATATTAAATTCATGGTGGATGTTGCTGGTCTGTGGACGTAAAGTATTACTAGTTCATTCACGGCACAATGTTTCTCCTGGTGTCCACGTCAGCGCTGTTTGATCTAATAGAGATCTACGGTTAATAACGGAGAAATGTGAATGCTTCTCACTAGATCTCGCAGCGATGTTATTACTTCAGTGGCGAATTCAAATGTTTTCTTTACTGGATCTCTAAGCGCTGTGTAGTAACAGTGTCGCTTGATCGAGATCGGCTCGCGCTGCACAGATGTTGCTGGTCAAACAATCCGTGAAGCACAATATAATGAGTAGCGCAGTTTCGTTCCGCTTTCATTACGTTTGCCATTTGATGTTGCGCAACGTTGTGGTGATCGCGCCAGCGCCGATTTTGTCGGCAAGAAAAATGGTCCAAGGAATCGTTCGGTTTGTATGCGTACCGAAGCGGAAGCCTCGAACCGAAACGGTTCAATACGAATACATGTACCGTTACACCCCTAAAGGCAACGTACATTACATAATACAGATATATATTATTACAGTGATATTTAACCCGTCCGTTATTGCTGTGGAAAGAAGCTTTTGGGGATGTTCATGCTCTGTGGAAAATATCTTGTTGAAGCTTTTACATTTTAACATTTACATTTAATGTTCGAAATGGTTGAAAGGCGAGTAATGTCATTGTACCCAGTTTAAAAACAACAACATTGCATTCATAGAGCAAGCCTTTCACTGATTGTTTACAGCTTAACGGAAGTTACACCCATAATTCACGCAAAGCATCATGGGGCGCAGGAATAAGCTGGATACACATTCAAGAATAATCAGATATATACGCAACACAGCAGAACAACCTGCAAGTGGGATTATTACGTGCCAGTGAAAACATGTCGTTTATGGGTATTTCCGTTGGACGATGAATAACCGAAGCATAAATTCTAGACATAAACCGATACCAAGATTTCGGCCGATACCGATAATTCTTTATATTTGAAAGCCGATGACCGATATATTGGCCGATAAATCTAAATCCGAATTTTAATGTAATTTCTGAGAGCCTGAATACAAAAACAAAAAAGCCACGTCCCAAACACACAATTATGATGTTCTTATTATAATTTTATTTATTTTATTTACTTGTGTTGAACATGCTGCACTTCACTGTATCTTCCTTTGTTGAAGTGATTCTAATCATATTTCAAGCGATTCGAAAGCATCATGTTGAACTGAAGTGTCTCAGCTGAAGGAAATAATCATTATTCATCGGCTTTTATATATCGGACAGATTTTCTTATCGGGCAGATATCGATAACTTTAAAAAATAAACCGATATCGTCCGATACCGATATATCGCGCAGCCCTAATAAATTCTTTATTATTCAGTGTTTATAATCCAGCCAGACGCATCAAAGCGACAGCTGAACACTTCAGCTCACGAATCTCACGATCGTCCGACGACACACTGTTACTGTGCAGAAAAGAGCTGAAGATTCAACTCCGCCTTTATAGTGACACGAGGAGTGAGAGTCATTTGTACATGATCTCTCGATGTGAACGTGGGCTGACGGAGCGGTTCTGGCGGATACGTACCCGATCGAGCACCACGTGTCCGCGCTGGCCTCAGACTTATCAATGGACTGTCTGTATGAAATGAAGGCGTCCTGGACCTTCCCAATACTGGAGTAGCACCTGCAGAGAGCAAACACACACGCCTGCTCAACCACCGCAGACCAGCAAGCGCTCGCTTCACGCGCGCGCGTGTGTGTGTGTGTGTGCACGTCATGTGACTGACCTGCCGAGGAAGTACCAGGACTGGCCAGAGTTCGGATCGGCTTCCAGGGATTTCTGGAGACACTGGATAGCGTAGCTGTTCTTATTAGCTTTATCTCCCAGCAGCTCGACTGTATGATGCATCCAGCCTGTGTGTGTGTGTGTGTGTGTGTGTGTGTGTGAGAGAGAGAGAGAGAGAGAGAGAGAGAGAAAGAGAGAGAAAAAAGCTTCAGCATAAACTTGCATACAGATGCAGAGAGCCTAGTAAACCCAGCATCAGTAATCTGTGTTCTGGCGTCTCTGGCCCAGCTTACAGCTGATATCCAGATGTGTTTTAGTGGCCCAGTTTACAGCTGATATCCAGATGTGTTTTAGTGGCCCAGCTTACAGCTGATATCCAGATGTGTTTACAGGTGACATTCAGTGTTTCAGTCGATCGGATCACGAGTGGACGGCACTGACACAGGAGTGAGCGGCTCTAAAGCGTCTGAGCTCGTCCACTGCCAGAGGGAGTCGAAACACAGTCGCCCGGACTGATCTCGTAGTGTACACGGCACGGCTGCCAAAACGGCTCAAAAGCTAAACTCGAATTCCTTTCTTAAATATTAGCAAAATTCTAATTATATTAAAATTCTAAAGGCAATACTTAAATGTTAGAGTCGTGATCCGATCCACCCTAACGCATGTTAACATCAGGTGTGAACGGGGCCGATGACCTCACTCGTGCCGTGAAGGGTTTAGCGCAGAGAATGAAGCACATGTTCCAGTTTCAGTTTAAAAGCGTACAATGACCTTCTAGACTCGCAGGTGAATGAACTTCTGGTCATGTGATGATTTTGCTTCAGATAAACAGTCTCGTCACATCCCTACACACTCACTGAGTTTCCAGGTTTACATGAGAACTTTATTCAACCGTTTACAGGGGCTTGCGCACCGCCTGAGAACGCCAGAGTCTGAGCTCACAGCGCTCGCATTCTCCCGTTCATGCGATCCGTCTAACAGTGCTGTCTGATACGCTATTAGATACTGTTACACACAGAGAGGAGACCGTAATAAAGTGATTAGCGTGTGGCGTGTGTTTGATGTCCAGTGTCGCTGAGCAGAAACGCATCATGTTCCTCTCGGTCTCCTCAGCTCCTCAGTGTAAAGGTTGAGAGCTCCATCTATCTCTGCTTTACATGTTCGTAGAGTTAGTTTCTGGAGTAAATATAAAGCCTATAATCTGTGTGCTTTTTAATAATGGCGGGCGCTGGTGTTTCACGAGCGTTCAGCCAATCAGCGAACACTAACGTCACTGTAGTTCCTCGAGCGCTGGGTTAGAGCGACTCTGGAGGAGTAAAGCAGTTCCTCTAGCGCTGGGTTAGAGCGACTCTGGAGGAGTAAAGTAGTTCCTCTAGCACTTCCTTGAGCGCTGGGTTAGAGCGACTCTGGAGGAGTAAAGTAGTTCCTCTAGCGCTGGGTTAGAGCGACTCTGGAGGAGTAAAGTAGTTCCTCTAGCGCTGGGTTAGAGCGACTCTGGAGGAGTAAAGTAGTTCCTCTAGCGCTGGGTTAGAGCAACTCTGGAGTAAAGTAGTTCCTCTAGCGCTGGGTTAGAGCGACTCTGGAGGAGTAAAGCAGTTCCTCGAGCGCTGGGTTAGAGCGACTCTGGAGGAGTAAAGTAGTTCCTCTAGCGCTGGGTTAGAGCGACTCTGGAGGAGTAAAGTAGTTCCTCTAGCACTTCCTTGAGCGCTGGGTTAGAGCGACTCTGGAGGAGTAAAGTAGTTCCTCTAGCGCTGGGTTAGAGCGACTCTGGAGGAGTAAAGTAGTTCCTCTAGCGCTGGGTTAGAGCGACTCTGGAGGAGTAAAGTAGTTCCTCTAGCGCTGGGTTAGAGCAACTCTGGAGTAAAGTAGTTCCTCTAGCGCTGGGTTAGAGCGACTCTGGAGGAGTAAAGCAGTTCCTCGAGCGCTGGGTTAGAGCGACTCTGGAGGAGTAAAGCAGTTCCTCTAGCGCTGGGTTAGAGCGACTCTGGAGGAGTAAAGTAGTTCCTCTAGCGCTGGGTTAGAGCGACTCTGGAAGAGTAAAGTAGTTCCTCTAGCACTGGGTTAGAGCGACTCTGGAAGAGTAAAGTAGTTCCTCTAGCGCTGGGTTAGAGCGACTCTGGAGGAGTAAAGTAGTTCCTCTAGCGCTGGGTTAGAGCGACTCTGGAGGAGTAAAGCAGTTCCTCGAGCGCTGGGTTAGAGCGACTCTGGAGGAGTAAAGTAGTTCCTCTAGCACTTCCTTGAGCGCTGGGTTAGAGCGACTCTGGAGGAGTAAAGTAGTTCCTCTAGCGCTGGGTTAGAGCGACTCTGGAGGAGTAAAGTAGTTCCTCTAGCGCTGGGTTAGAGCGACTCTGGAGGAGTAAAGTAGTTCCTCTAGCGCTGGGTTAGAGCAACTCTGGAGTAAAGTAGTTCCTCTAGCGCTGGGTTAGAGCGACTCTGGAGGAGTAAAGCAGTTCCTCGAGCGCTGGGTTAGAGCGACTCTGGAGGAGTAAAGCAGTTCCTCTAGCGCTGGGTTAGAGCGACTCTGGAGGAGTAAAGTAGTTCCTCTAGCGCTGGGTTAGAGCGACTCTGGAAGAGTAAAGTAGTTCCTCTAGCACTGGGTTAGAGCGACTCTGGAAGAGTAAAGTAGTTCCTCTAGCGCTGGGTTAGAGCGACTCTGGAGGAGTAAAGTAGTTCCTCTAGCGCTGGGTTAGAGCGACTCTGGAGGAGTAAAGCAGTTCCTCGAGCGCTGGGTTAGAGCGACTCTGGAGGAGTAAAGTAGTTCCTCTAGCGCTGGGTTAGAGCGACTCTGGAAGAGTAAAGTAGTTCCTCTAGCGCTGGGTTAGAGCGACTCTGGAGGAGTAAAGCAGTTCCTCGAGCGCTGGGTTAGAACGACTCTGGAGGAGTAAAGCAGTTCCTCGAGTGCTGGGTTAGAGCGACTCTGGAGGAGTAAAGTAGTTCCTCGAGCGCTGGGTTAGAGCGACTCTGGAGGAGTAAAGTAGTTCCTCTAGCGCTGGGTTAGAGCGACTCTGGAGGAGTAAAGCAGTTCCTCGAGCGCTGGGTTAGAGCGACTCTGGAGGAGTAAAGCAGTTCCTCGAGCGCTGGGTTAGAGCGACTCTGGAGGAGTAAAGTAGTTCCTCGAGCGCTGGGTTAGAGCGACTCTGGAGGAGTAAAGTAGTTCCTCGAGCGCTGGGTTAGAGCGACTGGAGGAGTAAAGCAGTTCCTCTAGCGCTGGGTTAGAGCGACTCTGGAGGAGTAAAGCAGTTCCTCGAGCGCTGGGTTAGAGCGACTCTGGAGGAGTAAAGCAGTTCCTCTAGCGCTGGGTTAGAGCGACTCTGGAAGAGCAAAGTAGTTCCTCTAGCGCTGGGTTAGAGCGACTCTGGAGGAGTAAAGTAGTTCCTCTAGCGCTGGGTTAGAGCGACTCTGGATGAGTAAAGTAGTTCCTCTAGCGCTGGGTTAGAGCGACTCTGGAGGAGTAAAGTGGTTCCTCTAGTGCTGGGTTAGAGCGACTCTGGATGAGTAAAGTAGTTCCTCTAGCGCTGGGTTAGAGCGACTCTGGAGGAGTAAAGTAGTTCCTCGAGCGCTGGGTTAGAGCGACTCTGGAGTAAAGTAGAACTGAAACCACTCCTAGTTCCTGCGGTGCGAACACGCCGACATCCGGGACTCCCCAACAGCTCTGGGAACGGGGAAGAGGATCCTCCGGTGCGGAAGACTCTTATTTTTAACAAGCTGCAATGATATTCTGTGGTGACGGACAGCATGTCATATAAACGCGCAACATGATCACAGTTAGACGTCAGAGACTAGTGTTTGGGTTTATTGCCATATCAGCATCACCGGCTATTACATGCCAGATACAGGTTAAACATTTTACAACATAATATTATAAGTATACCATAAAAAAAAAAAATAAAAAAAAAAAAATATATATATATATATATATATATATATATATAAATAAAAATAAAGAATAAAAATAAATAATAATAAATAAATAATAAATAATACCAAAATAAAATCACTAACTCGAGGCGGGAGTGAGTGAGAATGCGGTGTTCTTACCCAGCTGCTGTAAGGTGGCGGCCTTCACCTGCACAGGTAACGCCTCGGTCAGCAGGAGACTCTCGTACGCCTCTTTAGCGGTGCGATATCTCTTCTGTCACACAAGCACAGTCACTGATCACATGTGTTCTGACCGCTACAACCAATCTCTACTGTCATGTGATCCTGTAGTGAACGCTCAGGGCGGAGGGAAGCCTTAGCAACACCCCGGCAACCCCTCTCTCCTGTTGCTATAGCAACACCAGCTGAACGTTCAGCTCAGAAAGTGCGAACATGACCTCATGCATTACCATCAATTACAAGGCAGAGTTAGTTTGTCCGGTTAGTCATGGATGGAGGTGTGCATGAGGGACTCACCTGAATCTCGTACAGATGCGCAATGTGGAACTGAACTACAAACACAAACACAGAGACGAGAATTAGCAGCAAATTCAGAACAGCAGCTTTTCTGTGAGAATGTTTGTGATGGGGGAGAAGATCCTGCAGAAACAGCTTCCTTGGTACAGTGAATCAGTGTGTGTGTGTGTGTGTGTGTGTATGTGAGAGAGTGTGTGCGCGCATGTGTGTGTGAGAGAGAGAGCGTGCGAGAGAGTGTGTGCGCGCATGTGTGTGTGAGAGAGAGCGTGCGAGAGATTGTGTGCGCGCATGTGTGTGTGAGAGAGAGCGTGCGAGAGATTGTGTGCGCGCATGTGTGTGTGAGAGAGAGCGTGCGAGAGAGTGTGCGCGCATGTGTGAGAGAGTGTGTGCGCGCATGTGTGTGTGTGAGAGAGAGCGTGCGAGAGAGTGTGTGCGCGCATGTGTGTGAGAGACAGAGAGAGAGAGAGAGAGAGAGAGAGAGAGAGAGAGTGTGTGCGCGCATGTGTGTGAGAGACAGAGAGAGAGAGAGAGAGAGAGAGAGAGAGAGAGAGAGAGAGAGAGAGAGAGAGAGAGAGAGAGAGAGAGAGAGAGAGAGAGAATGGGTGTATGAGAGAGAGTGTGAGGGAGAGAGTGTGTGCGTGCGCGTTTATGGCGGTTATGGAAAGGGGCGGGGCTTTCCCAAACACACTCGAACAATCCCAACACACTGCTCCAGTCGACCAATCAGAGCACAGTGCGCTTCTCAGAAGGAGGGGCTTCATGGAGACAGAGGTTTGATCAGTACTGAACCAACAGCACTAATAATCCCTCACACTCCTCCTAAAGTCTCCTAATGAATCCGTAATCAGTGTTTGTGCGCTCAGAAGTGTGTGTGTGTGTGTGTGTGTGATGCGCTCAGAAGTGTGTGTGATGGAGACACTGAAGGAACTTACTCTCAGCTTTAGACAAAGTGCAGTGACTGGAGTCGATGAGCGCCAGCTGAAAGTGCTGCGGACACACAGGGACAAAACCAGCTCACATCTCTCACTGCCAGAGCCAACTAATGCAGGAGCCGAGCGGTCACCGGCAAACATCACACATGAACAACAGAACACCACAGAAATAAAGGACAGAAAGAAACGGTCCAGATGTGGAGCTTCATCTAAGCCGTCAACAGACTGATTGACATTCGACAGTTTCTGCCTGTTTTCATGTAAATCACAGAAGCTCACGAAGAAAGAGCGAGACTGCCACTCCTAAGCTAGATGTGTTCCAGCCCACGGTGAGCCGTGCCGCACCTTTAAGCTCGACTCGTAGTCCGTGTTGACCTTGAACATCAGGCCGAGACGCAGGTGAATCTCTTTAGCTCGAGAGAAGCCGGGGTCGATGTACAGCACCTCCTGAAACGCCTTGATCGCCCTGAGAGCGCACACACACACACACACACACACACACACACACACACACACACACACACACACACACACACACACACACACACACAGCAATGAAACACTCCTTCCGGAACAACACGAAGCGTTACTGTCATGTCAACATGTAACTGAGGAAACAAGCGATTCATTAAAGAGACTGCATCTACTAGGGCTGTCACTTTTGTGAAAAAATCCTGTTCGATTCTTGAGACACAAGGGTTCACTGCGTCGTTAAACACTCCATGTCTAACGACGTTTCCATTTTCAACACCAAATACAGGCAAATCCACGGACACCTAACAGGCATTAGGACGAGCGTAAAGAGGGCGCTTGAGACGCGCACAAGTCAGCAATATTTCTGATGATTTATTGGCGTGAAGTTTCAGCACAATGACAAACAGGAGCGACACATTCAGGGAGTGAGATGAACACCCTCGACCCGCCGCGGGCACAAAGGAGCTTTGGCGGGAAACGCTGTCAAATCACGAGCCGGTTTGGCGTGTTTCTATTAGGGATGTGCACGAATATTCGATCTGTAATTATTATTAAAAAAATAAAACACTATTTGAATTTTACTACGTTGCTTTGCTGGCCGTAAATGCAGTGAATCCATGATGAATCCCAAGCACTAACTCGCAGTTATAATTAAATGCACTGGGTGGCGCCGTGGAGTGTGTTAACAAGTTGTGTGTATTTGATCACAATGTTGTCGTCTGCCTCGCGAAGTTTGGAATTACTTGAAAATGATTTTACTAAACGGAATTACTTTTGATCAAATTAATTAATTAATCTGAATTATAATATTATCACCACAAAGAGAAATCACATGAAATCCAAACAGTCGAATGAGGAAAGGCAGCTGTCATTTAAATAAACGAATATTCTATTTTTATGAGCCCGAATATTCGAATGCAATATTTTTGAAAAATGCCCATCCCTAGTTTCTATGTTTACTCACTTTGCTGGGGAAGTTCGTGTAAGCCAAATTTTGCACAGATTTAGGGCAAATACGCAACTCGTGAGTCCTCATGATATATTAAATACAGCGTATTGCAGAATCTGCGTATTTCTGGCTTACTTGAACACACACACACACACACGTCACTCACTACGCAACAAATAACGGCACGCTTGTTCACTTGCATTGAAGTAATAGAGAATATTAAAAAGTTATTTTCCAGCATCCTACATGTTCTGTGCACTGTATTGATCTGCCCACCTAAAACACATTTTTGGTAAAAAAATAAGTAAAATAAAAAAGGCCATTAAAATCGATTCCCTATTTTCGTTTTGGAAACTTGTGTTGGATGGTCAGAATCGATTTTCGCACGTAAAGTGACAGCCCTAGCACCTACTGGCGGCAGGCAGACCCGTCGGCGCATGCGGATTAACATGCGAGTACACGCGATCTCCCAGAGTCAGCCCACATGACCTGAACATCGCCATGGAAACGGTCCGCCTGCATCTCATTCACCACGTCACATGACGTCCAAAGTGCCAATCAAACATGTTGCGTTCACACATGCATCACGTGTCGATGTGAAGATACTCACCACTGAAATGCGTTGTAATGGAAGTAAACCATCCCGAGGCCGTACAGAAAGGCAGCGTTCTAGAGCGAGAGAGAGTGTGTGAGGGATCGGTCCATCAACACTACGATCAGTCACAGAGAAAACCACCTCAAACACTCGAGCAAAACCACACAGGAAGATTTCACAACAACTGTCAATCAACACACACGCTTACGCACACACTCACACTATCACACACACACTATCTCACACTCAACCAAACACAAACAAACACACTCGAGGAACACTGATGTTTAAACTCATCTGGCGGCTGCTCACCTTCCAGTAATAATGAACTAATAATAATAATAATAATAATACCTTCCAGTAATAATGAACTAATAATAATAATAATAATAATACCTTCCAGTAGTCTGACTGTAAACTGTAGTACCGCTGGTAGGCTGATAACGCTGCAACACAGAAACACAGGTGTGTGAGGCGAGGCTGGCCAGGTGTGTGAGGTGAAGAGGCTGGCCGTGTGTGTGAGGTGAAGAGGCTGGCCGTGGGTGTGAGGTGAGGTGAAGAGGCTGGCCAGGTGTGTGAGGTGAGGTGAAGAGGCTGGCCGTGTGTGTGAGGTGAAGAGGCTGGCCAGGTGTGTGAGGTGAAGAGGCTGGCCGTGTGTGTGAGGTGAAGAGGCTGGCCGTGGGTGTGAGGTGAAGAGGCTGGCCGTGTGTGTGAGGTGAAGAGGCTGGGCAGGTGTGTGAGGTGAAGAGGCTGGCCGTGTGTGTGAGGTGAAGAGGCTGGCCGTGTGTGTGAGGTGAAGAGGCTGGCCGTGTGTGTGAGGTGAAGAGGCTGGCCGTGTGTGTGAGGTGAAGAGGCTGGCCGTGTGTGTGAGGTGAAGAGGCTGGGCAGGTGTGTGAGGTGAAGAGGCTGGCCGTGTGTGTGAGGTGAAGAGGCTGGCCGTGTGTGTGAGGTGAAGAGGCTGGCCAGGTGTGTGAGGTGAAGAGGCTGGGCAGGTGTGTGAGGTGAGGCTGGTCAGGTGTGTGAGGTTAAGAGGCTGGCCGTGTGTGTGAGGTGAAGAGGCTGGCCGTGTGTGTGAGGTGAAGAGGCTGGCCGTGTGTGTGAGGTGAAGAGGCTGGCCGTGTGTGTGAGGTGAAGAGGCTGGCCAGGTGTGTGAGGTGAAGAGGCTGGCCAGGTGTGTGAGGTGAGGTGAAGAGGCTGGCCGTGTGTGTGAGGTGAAGAGGCTGGCCAGGTGTGTGAGGTGAAGAGGCTGGCCAGGTGTGTGAGGTGAGGTGAAGAGGCTGGCCGTGTGTGTGAGGTGAAGAGGCTGGCCGTGTGTGTGAGGTGAAGAGGCTGGCCAGGTGTGTGAGGTGAAGAGGCTGGCCGTGTGTGTGAGGTGAAGAGGCTGGCCGTGTGTGTGAGGTGAAGAGGCTGGCCGTGTGTGTGAGGTGAAGAGGCTGGCCGTGTGTGTGAGGTGAAGAGGCTGGCCGTGTGTGTGAGGTGAAGAGGCTGGCCAGGTGTGTGAGGTGAGGTGAGGCTGGCCAGGTGTGTGAGGTGAAGAGGCTGGCCAGGTGTGTGAGGTGAGGTGAGGCTGGCCAGGTGTGTGAGGTGAGGTGAGGCTGGCCAGGTGTGTGAGGTGAGGTGAGGCTGGCCAGGTGTGTGAGGTGAAGAGGCTGGTTAGGTGTGTGAGGTGAAGAGGCTGGCCAGGTGTGTGAGGTGAAGAGGCTGGCCAGGTGTGTGAGGTGAGGCTGGCCAGGTGTGTGAGGTGAGGTGAGGCTGGCCAGGTGTGTGAGGTGAAGAGGCTGGCCAGGTGTGTGAGGTGAGGTGAGGCTGGCCAGGTGTGTGAGGTGAGGTGAGGCTGGCCAGGTGTGTGAGGTGAAGAGGCTGGCCAGGTGTGTGAGGTGAGGTGAGGCTGGCCAGGTGTGTGAGGTGAAGAGGCTGGCCAGGTGTGTGAGGTGAAGAGGCTGGTTAGGTGTGTGAGGTGAGGCTGGCCAGGTGTGTGAGGTGAGGTGAGGCGAAGCGGCTGGCCAGGTGTGTGAGGGGCTGGCCAGGTGTGTGAGGTGAGGTGAGGCTGGCCAGGTGTGTGAGGTGAAGAGGCTGGTTAGGTGTGTGAGGTGAAGAGGCTGGCCAGGTGTGTGAGGTGAAGAGGCTGGTTAGGTGTGTGAGGTGAAGAGGCTGGCCAGGTGTGTGAGGTGAGGTGAGGCGAAGCGGCTGGCCAGGTGTGTGAGGGGCTGGCCAGGTGTGTGAGGTGAGGTGAGGCTGGCCAGGTGTGTGAGGTGAAGAGGCTGGTTAGGTGTGTGAGGTGAAGAGGCTGGCCAGGTGTGTGAGGTGAAGAGGCTGGTTAGGTGTGTGAGGTGAAGCGGCTGGCCAGGTGTGTGAGGTGAGGCGAGGCGAAGCGGCTGGCCAGGTGTGTGAGGTGAGGTGAGGCTGGCCAGGTGTGTGAGGTGAAGAGGCTGGTTAGGTGTGTGAGGTGAAGAGGCTGGCCAGGTGTGTGAGGTGAAGAGGCTGGCCAGGTGTGTGAGGTGAAGAGGCTGGCCAGGTGTATGAGGTGAGGTGAAGAGGCTGGCCAGGTGTGTGAGGTGAGGTGAAGAGGCTGGCCAGGTGTGTGAGGTGAAGAGGCTGGCCAGGTGTGTGAGGTGAGGTGAGGCTGGCCAGGTGTGTGAGGTGAAGAGGCTGGCCAGGTGTGTGAGGTGAAGAGGCTGGCCAGGTGTGTGAGGTGAGGTGAAGAGGCTGGCCAGGTGTGTGAGGTGAAGAGGCTGGCCAGGTGTGTGAGGTGAGGTGAGGCTGGCCAGGTGTGTGAGGTGAAGAGGCTGGCCAGGTGTGTGAGGTGAAGAGGCTGGCCAGGTGTGTGAGGTGAGGCTGGCCAGGTGTGTGAGGTGAGGCTGGCCAGGTGTGTGAGGTGAAGAGGCTGGCCAGGTGTGTGAGGTGAAGAGGCTGGTTAGGTGTGTGAGGTGAAGAGGCTGGTTAGGTGTGTGAGGTGAAGAGGCTGGCCAGGTGTGTGAGGTGAGGCTGGCCAGGTGTGGGTCAGCTAGTGAATGGGACGCACCTTTAGGATACTCCTCGAGCAACAGGCTGAAGTGGCCCAGCTGGCAGAAGAACTCGGGGTCCACCTTGCCCTCAGCTTTCAGGATCAGGGACTCGTAGCAGCAAACAGCCTGTGACACGAACACACTGATCAATACATACAGAAGATAAGGAATGGTTAAAGACTCCTTTATTTAAAAAAGAACTTCTAATGAATAAACTTACTAATATACATGTAAGGACAGCAGTGTTACTGGCTGCAGATAAAGTCCTAATTGTTGGTGATTTTTATACACAACGAAGAAGGTGCATTGGGATTGGCATTTACATACATTCTTAACTCTATTGGAGTTAGACAACACGTGTCAGGACCCACTCATTGTAATCATACTCTAGATCTAATATTATCACATGGAATAGATGTTGATGCCGTTGAAATTCTGCAGCAGAGCGATGACATCTCAGATCATTATCTAGTCTCGTGTAAACTTCATTTAGCCAAGGCTGCAAAGCCGACTCCGTGTTACAAATATGTTAGACCTATAACTTCTGCCACTAAAGATTGCTTTATCAATAATCTTCCTGATCAGTTTCATCATCTCAGCATCCCAGATAGCTTAGAAGAACTCGATGTTGCGACAGAAACTTTTAACTCTCTCTTTTCCAGCACTTTAGACGCAGTTGCTCCATTGCGCTTAAAGAAGATTAAAGAAAATAGTCCAACTCCGTGGTACAACGAGCACACACACACACACACACACACACACACACACACCCAGGCCCTTAAGAGAGAAGCCAGAAACATGGAGCGCAACTGGAAGAAAACTAAACTAGAGGCAGGGCTCGACATAAGCAATGGCCCGATGGCCCGGGGCCAGTAAAAGAGTATGTCGGGCTAGTTGATTGGCCATCAGCAAAACAAACAGCAAACGTCATATACAGTGGCGCGAAGAGTGTCAATGTTACTTCAGGTTATAACGTGTTAAAATGTCAAAGAACTACGAGGCTGATACGAGAAAGAGGACATTCCTATAGGGCTGGGCGGTAAATCGAGTTTGTACAATATATAGATTTTTTTAAACGATATGGAATGAGGCAATACTGTTTATATCGATACAGTAGTTTGATACGAGCACATCTGAAAAATAGCGGAGTACGCAGTGTGAGCTCCTGCAGTGAAACAACATAGTACAATTTGTCCTGAACATGACACAAGCTTATATTAGGCACTTCAAAATAACTGGTAAGATATAGTTAACAAGTTTAAAGCAGCTTGCCCTGTCAGATGCTCTGACAGATACTGTTGCTGACTGACAGATAAATACTTGCGCTGTTTAATGCGTTTGAGACGTGGTGCTTTCCTCAGTGCTTAACTTACATTTTACATGTATATTCTCCATCTGTAAATGTTAGAAAGTCAAACAAATATGTCCATTTCACTGTCAGGAGAGGACGAGCTTCTGCAAGTGAATCTCCGCTAAAATTCAAGCTTCCGTGAACTAGCGCTGCCGCGAGCACGCGCGCCTAACACACGAGCACAATAGAAGAGTAGCGCAATAATTCTGACTAAAATATACATCTTGCTAAAATATTTGTTGTTGGAGACAATAAATGTGCCATTTGTGGAACTTTAAACCTACAAGTAGGCCTATGTTTTTATGAAAGTGAGCATTATAACGGGGTAATCAAATGCAGGCTAGCTAATATAATTAGTTGTGCTTTTGTTTTTATTTTCATTTTTAGTTTAGCCTTAGTCATTTTAAAAACAAAAGCATTATTTTTGTTTTTTAGATTGTAATGTTAGAATGTAATGTGATTTTAACCTTTTTGCACGTAATATATTGCATAGCCTACATTACATTCACTATATTTGTTTCCATATCCTTCAATATCAACATTGTTTGGATATCATAAATACAGATTTTCTTTATCCAAATAGAAAAACGCAGAAAGTACCGAGATATATATCGTATATCGCCATTTAACCAAAAAATACAGAGATATGATTTTTTGGCCATATCGCCCAGTCCTAATTCCTAGTGTCATGGAAAACGCAGTACACCTGGGTGGAGAAAGGCGATGAGGGCATGTACTGTTTGGTTGCCAGAAATTTACAACAAAAGCCGACCAAAATGCAAAATGCATAACCGGCCTGCCGAGTGCCGACGGGCTATCTAAAAATAGTGTAATCAAATTCCCCCCTAAACTTCTGCCTAGCCCCCCTAAAAATGTGTGATTAAGTGTAAGCTACACAAATTTGTGTTCGCTTCAGTCTTGTTATAATCAGATTCAGCGCGTTCTTCATTGACAGTTTTTTAGGTCATAAATGTTAAACGTATGACAAAAATAATCAGGCAAACTAATATACTTTTGTCTAATTTCGCCATTTTGAAGTGAAAATATAGCCTATGTAACTCATCACTCATGTAATGTAATAATTAGTTTACTGTCATTGTGAGGGGACAAGAAAAATTAATCCTAATGTATACAATAAATACAGTTTAATGGAAAAGTACTTTTCATTCTATTTCTTTCAGGGCCAGTAAAAATATAGAAGGGGCCAGCAAAACTCTGATCTACTGGCCCTGGGGGCCAGTGGGGATTTTTTTTTATGTTGAGCCCTGCTAGAGGTATTTCACATTTCATGGAAGGAGAGCTCGATCGCATACAGAGAGGCCTTACAAGCCCTTTTCAACTCTCTTAGAAGAAAACAAACACAAGCCTATGTATTTATTTGATACAGTGGCCAAACTAACAAGAAATAAAGCTTGAACTTCTAAAGTTTCCAAACACAACAGCAGTAATGACTTTATGAACTTCTTTACTTAGCTATAATTGATAAGTTATCAATCTTGTATGAAAATTATAACTATGCCAGCGTCTACTACAGCATCGCATCAGGGAGTGTGTTGTAGTCTCCGTGAGGAAACATCCACTCGTGCACTGCTGTAGGAGAGGAAGACATCTCTAAACTCGTTAAATCATCTAAATCATCAACATGTGTGTTAGACCCTATACCGACTGAGCTACTGAGAGATGCAGGTCATAGATCCTCTTCCTATAAATGTCATTAACTCACCCTTTCATTAGGATACGCACCGAAAACTTAAGCTGGCTATTAATAATATTGCAATCATTTTGACACGAAATAAAGTGTGATAATTTAGACTCATGACTGGCTGAAAACCGTGCAATCTTTTAGACAAAACATAAAACTGGCATTGCGAGTGCGACTCACACAACAGACAATAGTGTCAATTATAGTGTCCATTATAGTGTCCATAGTTCCCCTGACTGGAGGAACCCTGCGATTTAAACTCCTATATAAACATTAATGTGTGTTAGTGTATTTTAGCAAGCAGTTCCGTTACGGAAAATCAGAGCGGCCGCATCCGTAACGGAGGACTGTCACGCCCGTAACATTGTTTTATCCTCATAAATGCCAACACGAAAAATAAACTAAAATGGATATTATGTTCTGTGGAGAGCAGCCCTTCTTCATCCGGTGGGTGGGCTTACTCTCGTCTGCGCAGTGTAACTCACAGGAGGACTACAAAATAGGTTGCCATCTAAAACTTTTTTGGCACGTCTGTAACGCAGGTATATTTCCCTCATCTACAATATAAAACGCGTGTGTGGACTGATGTTTTTCTAATGTCTGGACTCCTTTATTAAGGGATTATGGATATATATATATAAACAGACGTTTGAATATATATTGGTATTCAATGCAGAATCTGAGAATTTATATTTCAAGTTTTGACTGCAAATGTCACGTCCACAACGCTGGAATTGCCCCAATCCTATTACAGTATTTTTCACAAATTAAGTAATTGTTTAACAATATGAATAAAAAGGAAGTAAACACTGTAACCAACAGTAAGCTTGTGCGCACTGGAAATCTTCAAAAAAGGTCACACACATTTTACATCAGCACACAGTGAAGATAGCATGGATGTGGCAGTGGGCAACTGGATATAGCGCAGCATATTTAAACAATTAGGATATAATAACAATAAGAATTTAAAGTTTGTGGATCGCGTCTCCAGTGAAGCTGAACTCTCCTGTAACACACACTCATGCAGGCTACACACACACTTCAGAAGATCTCAGCTGGACTCGGTTAAATCTGCAAAGTTTGTGAAATTAAATGTTTACTGGATATTGTTTTAATGATATAGATGTGCATTTGCTGAATGTTAACGGTAAATGAGACACTACTATAGCCTATTGCTTGCCTTTCTAACTAATTATATAAAAGCAAACACTATACTTTCAAATACCGTTTACTTTCTTTGTTTAACAGTGCTATTTAATAACGTATTGGACAACTCCAGAAAGCCCTCCCGTTACCCAGAGACGCAGGACGACCACGGGCCGCTTCAGTCTCCGGGGGTCAGAGGTCAGCGCCGCGGTAAACACACACTCACGCTCCCGTGTCACAGCAGTAGCGAGAGGAACGGGTGATCTCATCCAACATTACCCACAAGGCAATGTAGCAGGACACTACTCTGGTCTATGAGCACATGAACTCTGCTGTGCACACACACACACACACGCAACAACATCAGTTCACAGGACAGAAGAGAGCGTTTCTGCCTAAACATCCAATGAATTAAGCAACATTTCAAACATTCAGGTGGTAAAAAGAACTACATATCACACCGTGGAATAAAGCATGCGTGACAATCAGGAGACAGAATATAGATCATGAAGAAATGCAACAAAACAAAAAAGACTCCCAGAATCATTTCATGAGCTCAAAGCTGAAGTTCGTTATGCTTCGGTGAGCAACAGTGTGTCAGACTGCACACACACAATCAACACACGACGGCGAGAGGAACTGATGATGATGAACTCGGAGTCCTTCATCACATCTCAATCTCAGCTTCGACCCGATTAATGTAGAGCAGACTCCAGGAGCGCCCGAACACGAGCCTGCAGTTTACACTGATGAAGCAGTGTGTGTGTGTGTGTGTGTGTGTGACGTCACTCTTACTCGTCTCAGAGAGAAACGATCCTCACACACACAAGACAGCACGCAGCAGCCGTCACTAAAGGAGGATACACACTCTCATGTCTGCTTCAGACCCAGAGCAGTTTCTTCTACACTGCAGATCTCTCACACACACACACACACGAGTGTCTCTCCCTCCGTCTGTGGATCAGCGCCACCTGCAGTTCAGGAGGAATCCCTCATGATCCCAGAGAACATGAACACACCTGTCACATGCCATGACACACTCACTCGCTGGTCTTTCACTCGACTCGAGCTCCTCTGGGTTCAGCTTTATTCTCGAACACACACACACACACACACAGAAGTGTAACATCTCTATTATGGACAGCTGAATAACTAGCAGAACTCATAACACAAGACTGTCCACATGCAAGCCTCCATAAACATGAACCGCAGAAAAGATCCGAACATGGCATTGCTAAAGCCGTGTGTGTGTGTTCCTGAAGCCGTGTGTGTAGTGTGTGTGTGTTCCTGAAGCCGTGTGTGTAGTGTGTGTGTGTTCCTGAAGCCGTGTGTGTGAGCGGCGACCGGCAGACACTCAACATCGATAGACTGGTTTACTGATCAGCCGTCGCCTTCACTGAGACACTAGAGGACAGCAGAGGAATCCAGACCAGGAGACGCAACAAGTGTGTAAGAAACAGTCTGCACCTGCGTAACACACACACACACACACACACACACACACACACACACACACGTAATCTACAGCTCAAACACTATCCGTAACAGAACAGTATAAATAATTACTGTAATCGACCGTTAGGCATCGTCGTGCAACACCTGACGAAGATGAAGAGGAGGATGAAGAGGAGGATTATGAAGATGATGAAGATGATCATGGAGTTTGTTCACCCACAAATCTATCTACTTACACTCTTTTAAACCACTGACTTTCTTCTACGGAACACAAACGAAGATACTTTGAAGAATGTTTAAACTGTTTTATCTAATGACTTTCATTTTATAACAAAAAAAACACATCCTTTTCCAAAATATCTTGTTTTCCACTGAAGAATGAAAGAATCACAGAATGACAATTTCTGGGTGAACGGTCCCGTTAATCCCGTTAAAGCCGTTCACACAAAAGACGAACTATAACAACCAAGGTAAAGTGTTAAAAGTAAACGAGTCCAAACAGCCAATCAGCAGCTTGAGCTACCGCATATATTTAAAGCTACAGTAACGCTACTGTGTTGAGTACAGCTAGTTATCGTAACGTGGTTAGCGTTCCTGGTGTGAACGGGCCTGTAACCATGAAGGCATAGTTTTAAAACGAGCACCACAACTATAACGATAATAACGACAGAGCAACAATATCGTTGGAATCACAGAAGACATTTTCAGGCTGATAACGATAAAACATTGACAGCCAATCAGAATCAATCCTGCTTTAAAGAGCTCCAGCATTTAAAGCCACAGACGTCAAAACTGAGAACAGAATCATATTGTACACGCTAATATTATAGTTATTGTTCCTGGTGTGAACGGCCTTTAATGCTGATACTTACTCCACAGGTCAGGATGAATATAGCCCTACATATCAATGCACATATATGATAAGAATGATGACGGGAACAACAGCGGTTAAATCAGCCGATCCATCAGCATTATCTATCCATCTAATATCTATCTATCTATCTATCTATCTATCTATCTATCTATCTATCTATCTATCTATCTATCTATCTACTCATCTATCTATCTATCTATCTATCTACTCATCTATCTATCTATTACATCTATCTATCTATCTATCTATCTATCTATCTACTCATCTATCTATCTATCTATCTATCTATCTATCTATCTATCTATCTATCTATCTATCTATCTATCTATCTACTACATCTATCTACTCATCTATCTATCTATCTATCTATCTATCTATCTATCTACTACATCTATCTATCTATCTATCTATCTATCTATCTATCTATCTACTACATCTATCTATCTATCTACTACATCTATCTATCTATCTATCTACTACATCTATCTATCTATCACATCTATCTATCTATCTATTTACTCATCTATCTATCTATCTATCTACTCATCTATCTATCTATCTATCTACTACATCTATCTATCTATCTATCTATCTATCTATCTACTACATCTATCTATCTACTCATCTATCCATCTATCTATCTATCTATCTATCTACTACATCTATCTATCTACTCATCTATCCATCTATCTACTCATCTATCTATACACACACTATTAATGAAGAATGAAAAAGAGACGCTGTTCTTATTAAGCATCTGATGACACCAACACTACAGAAGCAGCAGTGGATGATCAACATCACACACGAAGTCCATCATCACACACACACACACACACACACACGACAGCAGGAGCTCATGCAGACTCAGTCTTTGTTCCCTCTCTAGTGTTCACTACAGGTCCCACAAGACGGGAGGTGTTCTCACACGAGGCCCGTTACCCACAAGCCTTCACGGCGCTCAGCTGTAGCAGCTCATTCTGCAGCGTTACGGTTATTCTTGTCTCTTTCTGCATTATAACGCGCGTTATAACCCCTCCCCACCCCGCCATCTTGGGCCGACCCGAGCGCCATTACCCCCGCACACACATACACACACACGCGTCAAACTGAGCCGACTCTTCCTCCCATTACCACACACACACACACACACACACACACCAGCGTAAACTGAGGTAAACTGGGCCTGACTCTCCCTCGGAAACGCGTAACACACACACACACAGAGAGAGAGATCGAGATAAAGCCCGAGCGCGGCTTATGAACGTCCAGTGATTCAAACGACCTCAGTTTGAGTGACACCTGCACAGTTACAGCACAAACACAACGACGCGTTGCGTCCCTGAAACGAGGAGACGCGTCAGAACGCCCGAGCCGCTGCTGCCGAGTTCATAAAGTTCTCCATATGCTGGTTCCAATCACAGACCCGCGCGGCTAAAGGCTCGCGAGCTCCAGCGCAGCGCGTTGACGGAACGCGTCGCACTCACTCCCTCACACCCAGACCGCGGGAAACCGTGTCACTCACTTGCTGTCATTTTGCACAGAGTGTATGTGCGAGTGTGTTGTGATGCGTTGATTTCAACGCGCGTCTTTACCTTGACGAGCAGGGCCTTCATGCTGGCGCCATCTTCATGAAGCCGCTGATATCCGAACAGAGAGCTGCGAACGAGACACAAACACACACACACAGGGCTCGGGATCAGCTCGCTTCCGAACACACACCCCACACCCCGAAACACCCCGAGCCGCTCGCGGGCTCCGTTAAGCGTTGGTTCAGACCTGTCGACGCGGGCGAGAGCGTCGCTCTCCTGCGCGCTCAGACGCGGTGAGTCCTCCTCGGGTTCACTCGCTTTTCCCGCCGCCATTTTCTTCTCCTCATCACCAGCAGCGCTGAGGCGTCGAGCGGCGACGGCGAGCGACGCGCGGCACGATTTCATGGAATCGCACCGGGAGAATGCGAGTTCCGTTCGTCCAAAAGCCACAATAATCGGAAACTTTTTTCCAGTAAAACGCGCTTCGGTTTCTAAGCCCCCTTACGAAGTGAGTTGCTCGTCTTCTCACATTGTTGTGTAGGAATAAACTGTGTGATGCGGCGGGTCAATGTTTATGCGTGACTTGCGGCCCGTGCACACTTTAAAAACGCGGAACGTATTAAAACAATCTGAAAGTTGTGTCCGCCACCAGATTAAAGTTGTTGTAATTGTGTCACACAGGCGAACCCACGCCGTCGTCGTGACCACGCCCTCTCGGGCTCAACAGCCAATCGCTGAGGATAACGCCAGCGCGTCACTGGCCTTGTCCCAAAATGTTTTGGTTCTTCAATTCTTTCGGTAATTTTGTTTCCAGTAAAGATCGTATGAATGCGCGACTCGAAGCTTCAAGCGTTGCACGCGATGTTTGGAAAAATTAGAGGATTGACTAAAACATTGGATAGCGAACTGCGAATTTGCGTTGTTATGAAATGCAAATAGAGAGGTGTGGTTTTCATGAAATGGGGAAATTGGAGTGACAGCTGTACAGTTAAGGGTTAAAGCTTAGGCCGCTGTGGCTCAATACTATTCTTATTTCCTCTAATGTTCACAGAAAATATGGGCGAACATCTCATAGTTAGAAAACAGTTACAGAGATGAACTGCATCCGTTACAAACCAACGGTTCCCATCCTGTATAGTCGTTTACTTAGTGTTGTTAATTTACTATGAAATGCACTAAAAACATACGAATGAAATGTAGTAACACAAACTCATCAGTAGCTTGTATTCAGAATAAAACATTTCAGGAAATGCGTGTCTTATGAATATGAAAACGCAGTAAAAACCGGACATTGGCTACTGTATAATATTTGAAACATTGACGTGGCTGTAGGCGGCGCGCACGCACAGCTGTCAACATCACCTGACGCCATGACGTCACACATCACCCAAAATGGCGGAACATCAACAACAACAACAAACAGAAGGTGAGTGAGTGTGTGTGCTGTCAATATCTGATGATCGAGTGTTTAGTGGCCGTCGTTACACAGTAAGGTCAACAGCACCATGAAGACGGCGTGTCTCATATCGAGCACATTATATGCCAACAAAAACCAAAACTGAATATGAGCTCGTTTCATCTTGTCCTTCTCTTGGGTTAATCTCATTTAAAAAGTCATTTTTCGCTGAAGGGCCACATTTGACCTCAATCAAATCATGTGTCGTGAGATTTTATATACTACAAACTAACAAAATCTTACTTAAATCAAGATACATTTACTGGAGATGCAAAATCACTTCAGATATAAAGTCTTGTTTTCTGAAAATTGTATCAAAATTAAGTGAGTTTGTGCTTAAAACATGAACAAATATCTGCCAATGGAGTTCAGAAAAATAATAATGTTTTCCCTTCGAATCAAGTTTATTTTTCTGACCCCATTAGCAGATAATTGTTCTTGAGTACAAACTCACTTAATTTATTTTTTACAGTAAACAAGATTTAATATCTTCCGTCAATTTGCTTCTCCAGTAAATGTGTCTTGATTTAAGAATGTTTAGATATTTGTGCTGGAAAACAATACAGAAACACTGAGGAAGAAAATAGTTTTGAGATTTTAGTCTCGGAGTAATCTTAATAACATCCAGCAAAATACAGTTAGGCTAAATTAAATGAATTGGGGTGTGACTGCATGTGGTCACATGGTTTCCTGCAGTCGCGCGTGTGTGTGTGTGTGTGTGTCATGTTACCCTCCATCAATATTCCTCATGCTATATGGATATAATACTGCAGCTGCTTCAGAATAACAGCATCTCACGCTTCACTTTGAGCTGCTGTGTGTGTGTGTGTGTGTGTGTGTGTGTGTGTTCAGGACAGGCCGATGAAGACGAGGCGTTCGAGATGCTGGATCTCAGCACATACGCTCGCAGTCACCAGTGGTGGAACACCGTGATCGGGAACAACTCCGGCCCGATGGCAGAGAAATACTCTGTGGCCACTCAGATCATGATGGGCGGATTCACGGGCTGGTGCGTTCCCATTACACACTGCTCTTCATCACCAGTTCATACATCTCGTTCCCATTACACACTGCTCTTCATCACCAGTTCATACATCTCGTTCCCATTACACACTGCTCTTCGTCACCAGTTCATACATCTCGTCCCATTACACACTCCTCTTCATCACCAGTTCATACATCTCGTTCCCATTATGACTCAGGGTTTATGGGCTATACTGGGACCAGCCACTGGGGGGTGATGGAGACTCAGGGTTTATGGGCTATACTGGGACCAGCCACTGGGGGGTGATTGAGACTCAGGGTTTATGGGCTATACTGGGACCAGCCACTGGGGGGCGATCGAGACTCAGGGTTTATGGACTATACTGGGACCAGCCACTGGGGGGTGATCGAGACTCAGGGTTTATGGACTATACTGGGACCAGCCACTGGGGGGCGATCGAGACTCAGGGTTTATGGACTATACTGGGACCAGCCACTGGGGGGTGATCGAGACTCAGGGTTTATGGGTTATACTGGGACCAGCCACTGGGGGGTGATCGAGACTCAGGGTTTATGGACTATACTGGGACTAGCCACTGGGGGGTGATCGAGACTCAGGGTTTATGGGCTATACTGGGACCAGCCACTGGGGGGTGATCGAGACTCAGGGTTTATGGACTATACTGGGACCAGCCACTGGGGGGTGATCGAGACTCAGGGTTTATGGACTATACTGGGACCAGCCACGGGGGGGAGATCGAGACTCAGGGTTTATGGGCTATACTGGGACCAGCCACTGGGGGCGATCGAGACTCAGGGTTTATGGACTATACTGGGACCAGCCACTGGGGGGTGATCGAGACTCAGGGTTTATGGGCTTTTCAGCACTTGTGCGTCACGCTTGGCTGAAACTGGTGGTTATGGTAAGGGGCTAGTATGTATGAGTTAATAAATAACTAAATACTAAATAACTACTAAATTAGTTAGTAGTGTGTTGAATCTACTTAATAAGGGGCGGGACATTTCAAATATGGGAAAAATAATGTGTTTTTGAACATTCAAGCATGAAAACCTGTTCTAGTAGAGCCCAAAAAATCATCAAGACTTTGTAAAAGGGCAAAATAGGTTTTCTTTAAATACTGGTATTCTTCATTGATGTCTTTCCTCTCTCCTGCTTGTCTCAGGTGTGTGGGATACCTGTTCCAGCGAGTGGGAAAGATCACCGCTACTGCAGTCGGTGGAGGATTCCTGCTGTTACAGGCGAGAACACAGTTTACAGTTACTGATCACAACAGTTACTGATCACTACAGTTCCCTTTTGAGAACTCCTTTTATCGAGAATATTGAAGCCTTTATTTAAAACGCAGTGCAGAGCACAGTGCAGGCTGTATAAGCGCGCTGATTGGCTGTGCTGCGGCAACTGCACGAACCTATGGCGAAGCAGCGAGGACGCGAGAACCTATCATGGCGCCTCGCGCACACCATAAATGGGCGTGGCTGAGGACTATAAAGCAGCCCATTTCGCCATAGGAATCAGATTTAATCTTCTTCAGCGACAGACACATCTCTTCGCTGACCCTCCGGATAGAAGCCTTCTCCTCGCCATCGAGAAAGCCTTGTAGCGGAACGAGTGACCTGGAGCAACAGCTCATTGGACGGCACTTCCTGTTCTTCTGACTCGACGCCGTCTACGCTGTTTCGCCGTTTCTCTGCGGCCATCCGGCGAGAGAATATCCTTTAAAGAGCTTTTCTCTAAAAGACCGGTCTGTGCTTCGTGTGGGCTTTCCCTCGCGAACACGGATGGGTACAGTGAGTGTGCTTCCTGCCTCGGCCCAGACCACGCGGAAGCTGCACTCGCTCACAGCGGCTGTTCTCACTGCGAGAACATGCCGCTCTGCGCTTGCGGCCAGCTCTCTCTACTTTGGAGAGCGACCCCGCCCCTCGCTTTTGAGCCAGCCAAGCACTTCCCTTTGCCGAAGCACCAGGGTCCCCGGACTAAGCTCACGCTGGACCTGGAGCCTCGAAAGCCGTCCTAGCTCCAGCAAAAAAGAGAAAGGGGTCAGGCCTCGCTGCGGCCGGTGAAGCCTTGCTCCGGAGAGAGTGTGTGCGCGCGCGACCGGGGCTCTCTCTCTCTCTGCTCGTTCAGTTAAACATGCGCCCTGTCACAAGCGCAGCGGTTCATCTACATTACTCACTGATCAAATAAGACTTTGCGTGCTTCTTCAATCCCCCTTTTCAGTTCAGGCGGTTGGAGATGTGTTTGTTGCAGACAACGGGCCCGTACTGATCTACGCACCCCTGCAAACAAACACTGTTTTAACAGCGACCCACATACAGCACAAAATGAGCAAATTTCCTCTTCCAAACATGAGGGTGACCCCCAGATTTCATTCAACCCCTAGTCTATCGGGCCAAGGCAAAATGGGTATTGAACACAATAAAACGAGGTTACTTACTTCAATTCGCTCGTAGACCCTCCGTTATCACACCGTGGTCGAGACATTGGTGAAGAGGAACGTGGCTCACGTCCTCCGCACCGAAGTGTCAAAACTACTAGCGAAAGGAGCTGTCGAGACACTTCCCTGAGCACTGAGCGAGTCAGGCTTTTACAGACGTTACTCCCTCGTTCCGAAAAAGGACGGTTGCCTCAGGCCTATTTTAGACCTCAGACATCTAAACAAAGCCCTCATGAAACGGCTGTTCAGAATGCTGATTACCAAACAAATCTTTGCGCAAATTCGCTCGAGGGATTGGTTTTTCTCAGTGGATCTGAAAGATGCTTACTTTCACATCCAAATAGCCCCCCATCACAGGCCATTCTTGAGATTCGCCTTCGAAGGGCAGGCATATCAATACACAGTCCTGCCATTCGGACTGTCTCTAGCACCCCGTACGTTTACGAAATGCATGGATGTGGCTCTCTCCCCCCTGAGACAGCGGGGAATGCGCATTCTGAATTACCTCGACGACTGGCTCTTTCTGGCCCAGCCAGAGGCGGAGTTACGGACTCTCAAGACCCGGCTCCTCGGCCATCTAGAACGCCTTGGACTCAGGATAAACTTTTCCAAGAGTGTGCTGACTCCCAACCAGCGTATGATGTACCTGGGAATACTTAGCTTGGCTCACGCCAGAACACGCTTTCTCTATTCAACAGCTAGCTGCTTCATTCAAAGCGGGCTTTCTCACGCCCCTCAGAACGTTTCAAAGGGCATTAGGCCTTATGGCCTCTGCGTCGTCAGTACTCCATCTTCAGCGCTGGCTCAAACCTCATGTCCCGGCTCATGCGTGGCGGCACGGCAGTCTACGTATAAGGGTAAACCACAACTGTGTCAAAGCCCTGGCCCCTTGGAAGGACACCAGCTGGTACCAGTCTGGTGTGAGCATGGGTTTGGTGTCGGGAAGGAAGGTAATTTCAACAGACGCCTCCAACTTAGGTTGGGGGGCTCTGTACGAGGGCAGACCTGCCCTCCGGCCTTTGGTCGAGCTCGGAGAAGCGCCAACGTATCAACATATCTTGAAATGAGAGCAGTTTTTCTAGCCCTAAAAACCTTCCTCACACATCTGGCAGGTCACCACGTTTTAGTCCGGACGGACAACATGGCGGTGGTGTCATATATAAATCGCCAGGGCGGTCTCAGGTCACACAACCTGTACACCATGGTCAAACGGCTCCTCACATGGGCTCAGGCCAACCTGCGCTCGCTCAGAGCAGCGCATGTACCGGGCATACTGAACTAGGGTGCAGACATGCTATCTCGAGACAACATTTCCCCAGGCGAATGGTCTCTCCACCCTCAGACGGTTCTTTTGATCTGGAGTGTCTTCGGGAGGGCAGAGGTCGACCTCTTCACCTCAGAAGACAACTCTCATAGCCCAAATTCTTTTCAAAGAAAAGGGATGCGCTGGCCTATGATCAGTGTTAATTTTGTCAGCAAATTTTGATTTAGTTTTAGTCTTAGTCTTTTGACTAAAATGCCATTTAGTTTTAGTCATATTTTAGTCATCTGAATTGTTTTAGTTTTAGTCTAGTTTTAGTCGACGAAATACAATAACATTTTAGTCGACTAAATCTACAGTAGATTTAGTCGACTAAAATATAATGGGTTTAGTTCAATTGTAATGCGTTAATTTAGAATTTCTCTAAAATTTCCAAACCCATACTCCCGGAGAAAACATCTATTAACCTATTAATATGAATGATTTTTAAGTTTGAACATGCAATACAGATACAGATTTAACTACTGTGACTTAAAAAATATCTTAAAATGAAATAAAACCACTTTTCCTAAAGTACAACACAGTCTTCTTTACGATGAATGATATATTCATTCCTTATAACTACTTACACATCATTCTTTATTCTTTCAAGCAGACATATTTATTTGTATGAATTAAATATAATTAATCCTTATTAAAGCTATTAACAAACAGTGAATGCTTTTCTCTTTTTCTTTTGTTACTTGATCAAAATTAAGGACACGGACCGCATTAGGTTTATTGCCACTGTCACTTTAAGACGTCGGATCATGTCCAATGACATGCGGATACAATTGCACTGATGCACATCCGACACACTCACAGTTTAAGACATAACCAGCATAGTTTACATGAATACTCTCCAAAAAGGACATTTAGACATACTGTTGTGTATTTGTCCATTCAGACACGAATTCAGTAGCCTACTCGCGCGCTGTAGGTGTATTGTGCATGACTGCACGCTTCGGGTTAGGTGTGTGCGCACAGAAAACCGCACCGAATAGAGCTCTTTTTTGCATCGTCACTCTTATTCAGAGATCTATATGTCTGCTCTACTCATTCTCCCAGACGTTCACATTTTTTAACGTTTTATGACCGCGGGGTAGATCACGTTACAGTAGCCTACAAATGTGCGCATCTACCACACACGCAGGACATCAGTTCTGACGGATCGCTTCCCAAATCGTCACTATCTAACATTTTCGTCTAGTTTTTATTCGTTGACGAAAATGTCAATAGATTTTCGTCATAGTCTTTGTCATTCAAAACTAGGTTTTATTTATTTATCGTCTCGTTTTCGTCTGTGAAAAAATGTGGTTGACGAATAATTTTCGTCGTTATTTTCGTCAACGAAATTAACACTGCCTATGATTGGCCCAGCCGCCCTCTTTATGCGTTCCCTCCGGTCTCGATGCTCCCTCAGGTCATCGAACGGAACCTGGAACCATATTAATGTGAAGTACCACTGGTACTCTCTTTTCTACAAGAGCTGCTGGACACGGGCCGGACCCCCTCCACGCTCCAAGTGTATGTGGCGGCCATAGCAGTTTTCCACGCTTCTGTGACTGGCCTATCTTTGGGGAAAAGCAAACTGATTGTACGCTTCCTCAAAGGGGCCAGGAGGCTTAACCCGCCTCGACCTCCCTTTATCCCCATCTGGGACCTATCTACGGTCCTCAGAGCGCTAAAGGGACCCCCTTTCGAGCCGCTTCAGTCGGCTGACTTAAAGGCACTTTCGCTTAAGACCGCACTCCTGCTAGCCCTAGCATCGGTCAAGCGAGTGGGCGATTTACAAGCGCTCTCCACGAATGCTTCCTGTCTTGAGTTTGGGCCCAACGACTCCAGAGTCGTCCTTAAACTGAGACATGGCTATGTACCTAAGGTGCTTTCGACTCCGTTCAGAGCCCAGGTTATTTCACTATCAGCTCTTCCCCCATCGGAAGACGATAGAGACTTGAATCTGCTCTGCCCTGTCAGGCTTTAAGAATTTATTTAGAGTGTTCTGCCCCGTTCAGGCAGTCGTAACAGCTCTTTGTATGCTTTGGTGGCCGCACCAATGGATAGTAGATGCTATCTCTTTAGCCTATGCTTCTATGGGCCTTCAATGCCCCATAGGCGTTAGGGCTCATTCCACAAGGGGCATGGCATCTTCATGGCCCTGGTCCAGTAGTGTACCAATTGAAGACATTTGTGCGGCGGCTGGCTGGTCCTCGCCGTCCACATTCGTAAGATTTTATAACTTGGAAGTGCCGGCTTTGCAAGCACAAATCATTTCTATATAAGTGGTCTTGGCTCCTGTTGGGCCCAAGCCTCTCCATATTTATGAATATATAAGGCCTACGTATATAGATGGTCTTGGCCCCTGTTGGGCCCAAACCTCTACGATTTCTTTGAGGGCCTTGACTAGGGATGGGAATTGATAAGATTTTATCAATATCAATGCCACTAACGATTCTGCTTATCGATTCGATTCTTTAACGATTCCTGATAGCACTGTGTGGAAAAAAGTAGTTAGCTTTTTCGGGGGGAAAAAACAAGTGGTTTTCTTTGTTTTAAAGCTTACACTTGACTAAGCAAACTGTACTTTTTATGTAATTTATGTAATAAATGGAACCTTATTGTAAAGTGTTACCGATTAGTTATACAACGATTAAACGTACCGTGAGTTCAGTGTTGGAAAGATCAGTTGTTTTAACCATTCATTAAAACGATTAGATTCAAATGAGTCATTAGTTCGCGAATTGGACGTGTCATTATCGGACGTGTGCCGGCGGTTGGGACTTCCCACAAGATGTGTCATCACAGAAAACATTTCATCACTGGATAGTTTTTTTCGTTTATTTGAAGTGTGGTTTATGTCAGCTGAATGTGCGGAACGCTTTTCAGAGAAGATAAGGCAACGTATTTCAGCACAATTCACACCCAGCGGTAGCCTAATTCAGGAAAAACAAATCTCCGAATGCTTATTCTCCCGACCTTACCATCGTGTCGTTTATTTTGATTAATATGTGCGAGGGAGAGAGAGCAAGACAGCGCTTAGTTTTGAGACGGTGAAGCCTTGCTCCGGAGAGAGAGAGTGTGCGCGCGCGTGTGTCTCTCTCTCTCTCTCTCTCTCTCTCTCTCTCTCTCTCTCTCTCTCTCTCTCTCTCTCTCTCTCTCTCTCTCTCTCTCTCTCTCTCTCTCTCTCTCTCTCTCTCTCTCTCTCTCTCTCTCTCTCTCCTCGTTCAGTTAAACATGCGCCCTGTCACAAGCGCAGCGGTTCATCTACATTACTCACTGATCAAATAAGACTTTGGCGGTACAAAAATTCGCTTTGGACGCCGTGCTATGGTGCTTGATAAAGGACAAAAGGGACAGTTGTGAGTTCACGGTCTGTAGCCTACATATGGCTGACTCAGAGCAGGAGCATCGATAAGAGGACTCGTTAACGTCGAGGGCATACAATATCGATGGATTCCCATCCCTAGCCTTGACTTTCTGGTCCCCGTTGGAATGTAACTTTTATTTCTGCTATGTGTTTTGGGCTTGTCAGCTCTAGGCAGTAGTCAGAGTGAAGTTATTAGGCTAATAGCACGGCGTTTTAAAATGGGTTCCCATAGCGTATAGCTACGCAATACTAGAGACCGTTCTCGAAAGGGAATGTACTCGGTTACTAACGTACCCTCGGTTCCCTTAGAAATAAGGGAACAAGTATTGCGTACCTAGCCATGCTATTATGCTACTTTCAGGTGCTGTCGCTTCAGTTGATTTAACTTGATTCCAATGGCGAAATGGGCGGCTTTAGTCATCAGCCATGCCCATTTGGCGCGCTTTGGCGGCCTGATAGGTTCGCGCGTCCTCGCTGTAGTACTGATCACTACAGTTACCGATCACTAGTTACTGATCACTACAAGTTACCGATCACTACAGTTACCGATCACTAGTTACCGATCTCTAGTTACCGATCACTACAAGTTTCCGATCACTACAGTTACCGATCACTACAGTTACCGATCACTAGTTACCGATCACTACAGTTACCGATCACTTGTTACCGATCACTACAGTTACCGATCACTACAAGTTTCCGATCACTACAGTTACCGATCACTACAGTTACCGATCACTAGTTACCGATCACTACAGTTACCGATCACTTGTTACCGATCACTACAGTTACCGATCACTACAAGTTTCCGATCACTACAGTTACTGTACAGTTTCCGATCACTACAGTTACCGATCACTACAGTTACCGATCACTAGTTACCGATCACTTGTTACCGATCACTACAGTTACCGATCACTACAAGTTTCCGATCACTACAGTTACCGATCACTACAGTTACTGTACAGTTTCCGATCACTACAGTTTCCGATCACTACAGTTACCGATCAATACAAGTTTCCGATCACTACAAGTTACCGATCACTACAGTTACTGTACAGTTACTGATCACTACAGTTACCGATCACTACAGTTACCGATCCCTAGTTACCGATCACTACAGTTACCGATCACTACAGTTACTGATCACTACAGTTACTGATCACTAGTTACGATCATTACAGTTACTGATCACTAGTTACCGATCACTACAGTTACCGATCACTACAGTTACTGATCACTAGTTACGATCATTACAGTTACTGATCACTAGTTACCAATCACTACAGTTACCGATCACTACAGTTACTGATCACTAGTTACGATCATTACAGTTACTGATCACTAGTTACCAATCACTACAGTTACCGATCACTACAGTTACTGATCACTAGTTACGATCATTACAGTTACCGATCACTACTTGTTACCGATCACTACAGTTACCGATCACTACAGTTACCGATCACTAGTTACTGATCACTACAAGTTACCGATCACTACAGTTACCGATCACTAGTTACCGATCTCTAGTTACCGATCACTACAAGTTTCCGATCACTACAGTTACCGATCACTACAGTTACCGATCACTACAGTTACCGATCACTAGTTACCGATCACTACAGTTACCGATCACTTGTTACCGATCACTACAGTTACCGATCACTACAAGTTTCCGATCACTACAGTTACTGTACAGTTTCCGATCACTACAGTTACCGATCACTACAGTTACCGATCACTACAGTTACCGATCACTAGTTACCGATCACTAGTTACCGATCACTTGTTACCGATCACTACAGTTACCGATCACTACAAGTTTCCGATCACTACAGTTTCCGATCACTACAGTTTCCGATCACTACAGTTACCGATCAATACAAGTTTCCGATCACTACAAGTTACCGATCACTACAGTTACTGTACAGTTACTGATCACTACAGTTACCGATCACTACAGTTACCGATCCCTAGTTACCGATCACTACAGTTACCGATCACTACAGTTACTGATCACTACAGTTACTGATCACTAGTTACGATCATTACAGTTACTGATCACTAGTTACCGATCACTACATTTACCGATCACTACAGTTACTGATCACTAGTTACGATCATTACAGTTACTGATCACTAGTTACCAATCACTACAGTTACCGATCACTACAGTTACTGATCACTAGTTACGATCATTACAGTTACTGGTCACTAGTTACCAATCACTACAGTTACCGATCACTACAGTTACTGATCACTAGTTACGATCATTACAGTTACCGATCACTACTAGTTACCGATCACTAGTTACCGATCACAACAGTTACCGATCACTACAGTTACCGATCACTACAGTTACCGATCACTAGTTACCGATCACTACTAGTTACCGATCACTACAGTTACCGATCACTACTAGTTACCGATCACTACAGTTACCGATCACTACAGTTACCGGTTACTACAGTTACCGGTTACTACAGTTACCGATCACTACAGTTACCGATCACTACAGTTACCGATCACTACTAGTTACCGATCACTACTAGTTACCGATCACTACAGTTACCGATCACTACAGTTACCGATCACTACAGTTACCGGTTACTAAAGTTACCGATCACTACAGTTACCGATCACTACAGTTACCGATCACTACAGTTACCGGTTACTACAGTTACCGATCACTACAGTTACCGATCACTACTAGTTACCGATCACTACTAGTTACCGATCACTACAGTTACCGATCACTACAGTTACCGATCACTACAGTTACCGATCACTACAGTTACCGATCACTACAGTTACTGTACAGTTTCCGATCACTACAGTTACCGATCACTACTAGTTACCGATCACTACAGTTACCGATCACTACAGTTACCGATCACTACAGTTACCGATCACTACAGTTACCGATCACTACAGTTACTGTACAGTTTCCGATCACTACAGTTACCGATCACTACTAGTTACCGATCACTACAGTTACCGATCACTACAGTTACCGATCACTACTAGTTACCGATCACTACAGTTACCGATCACTACAGTTACCGATCACTACAGTTACCGATCACTACAGTTACCGATCACTACAGTTACTGTACAGTTTCCGATCACTACAGTTACCGATCACTACAGTTTCCGATCACTACAGTTACCGGTTACTAAAGTTACCGATCACTACAGTTACCGATCACTACAGTTACCGATCACTACAGTTACCGGTTACTACAGTTACCGATCACTACAGTTACCGATCACTACAGTTACCGATCACTACTAGTTACCGATCACTACTAGTTACCGATCACTACAGTTACCGATCACTACAGTTACCGATCACTACAGTTACCGATCACTACAGTTACCGATCACTACAGTTACCGGTTACTACAGTTACCGATCACTACAGTTACCGATCACTACAGTTACCGATCACTACAGTTACCGATCACTACTAGTTACCGATCACTACAGTTACCGATCACTACAGTTACCGATCACTACAAGTTACTGATGCTTCAGTGTTTAAATGTGACTCAATGGGCTTTTGTCTCACAGATCGCTAATCATAGCGGCTACGTCCAAGTGGACTGGAAGAAAGTGGAGAAAGATGTAAACAAAGCCAAGAGGCACCTGAAGAAAAAAGCCAATAAAGCCACACCTGAGATCAACACGTTTATTGAGGAGGTGAATAAAATGGACACGATAATGTCTTGTGCCAATCTGAGCTTAAAATAACAGGAATTCATTACAAGAATTGAATCTAGGACTTTAACATGGATTTTTCCTTTTTTATAGTTTAGTTCAACAGTATGCAGTCTTCATCCAGTTCTCTGAATCTCTTCTGTGTGTGTAGCAGTGGCCTCTTCTGGTTATAATAGTTTTAAACCTCCATGTTTTCCAGGCTTCTGAATTTGTGAAGAAAAACATTGTCGTTTCCAGTGGATTTGCTGGCGGCTTCTTGCTCGGCCTCGCCTCTTGAGTGCTTCTGTGACGTCCCATCATGCACCTCATGTTGCTCTTTTACCTTCACTCACTCAGTGTGTGTGAGTCTGATGAAATGGAGGTGATGTGAGCTGATTCTGTGCAGAACTGAACGCTATAAACTACATCATTCGACAGTCTGTGTTTGCTTCTCTGAGAAAACAAACGGATGGAAAACTACTGTTCCCAGCTAATGCTTGTACAGGTTTTTGTAATTTTGTTCTTGGTGAAGTTACTGTTGCATTTTCATTGCCTTTGTTTGTTACCTCACTGTTTCTTTATGGGGACTGTTTACATTGTAAATAAAAAATGACTCCTGATTCAACTTTGTGACATCTTCATTTTGTTGTTGTTTAATTTCAACAGTGCTATCATATGATGGAGTGTCTGGTTTGTTCATATATAGCTTACCTAATTTTCCATTGGTCTTTTTCCAGAGGTGTAACTAAGGTCAGAGGTCATCGGAGGCTCAACCAATCCTCCGCTGGAAGAATAAAAAATAATATTTATGTTTATCCATTTAGTGCACTTTACAATTATTAATATTACATGTATATGTTCAATCATTTGAAGCTGAATGAGCAGTCCAGTCTTTGTGTTTGATAAATGTTGTCAGTAATTGTAACGCTTGCATTGCCCTGTATCGGTCCTTCTACTTTCGGTCTTATTTTTCTTTTCTCTTGCTGTCTCTCATCATCATGTTGTGAAACAAGACCAGTTTTGGGCAAGCTACTCAAACATTTAGCTGTATAAAACACCAGCTACTTCTCCAAAATGGCTCAGACATTAAAGCTAATTACACTACAAGTTAATTTGGTTGAATACATGATCCAAAAAAAAAACCTCCAAGAGAAATATTACCATAATAGGAAATAATTATTAGACCATAATGCTATATCAGATGGTTTTACTCAATAGTTATCAAATTAATGTATGGTATTTATACTTCAAGGTGGTTCAAAGAACGGTAGGCTACATGTAAAAAACAAACATGGTACTGATGATACATGATATGTCCAAAAAGCATGTGAACAATGCTGTGTGCGGTTTAGTGTTTCGGCCGTCACATGGAGAAGTTTAAACCCTTAGGCTGGGGCTCTCTCTCGTTCTCACGGCCATTTCCCCTGATATCTCTCTCTCACTGGAGTGTGTGTGTGTGTGTGTGTGGCTTTACTTTTTTTGCTAATTGTCTTGAACCAGCATGTCTACTGTAATGAACAGAACCGTCTCCAACTCATTGAAATTTGTTTGCAAATAATATACATTTAAAGTATCACATTATGACCATGTTGTTTTAACTTAAAATGACTTCCAATACTGTAGATTTAACAAAACTATATTTTCTAAATTGACTAATTGTTAAATTTAGTACAATAACTTCATGACAACATATTTATAGAAAAAACCTAATACTAAACATGTTATTGCATTATCATAAATCACATTTAATTATTTGTATAACTATAGTTTTACTACAAATTCCACAGTTAAACTATGGTTAGTGTAGCAAAACCGTGGTTAATGTGGTTTAATAACCATGGTTTTGTTTTATTTGTAGTAAAATCATCATTATTTTCCATACGGCTTGTGTTTTCTGCTCTAGCGTCCTCTAAACCCATCATAAACCCATGAGTAGAGCTACACTTCTACTGTAACTCTACAATGATGTGTATTAGCACAGTGGATCTCAACCTTTTCGATTCACAAAACATTTGCATTCTGTTCATTAACTCCAAGTTATTATTTATTTAAACAAATTCAATACAGATTTAAGCCTTCAGTGTTCTTTTTGCAAACACACTTTACACAAACGTCACTGCAGGAACTCCAGCACCAGCACTTCCTCCGCTGTGATGAGCGAAACACGAGTCACCGTCCCCGCGAGCACTGGGGGGCAGAACCACACTCTAAAGAGTTATATTTAAAAACACTTTTGTAGAGAATGAAAACAGGAGTGATGCACCAATCATGACGTTTCATGGCTGATATTGTTTTTTTTTTACAAGCAAATTGGGCAAATCCAAAACCGGCTGCCAATAAGAGGCCTTGAACATCCGTAACCATTTGAAATTAGAGGCAACCACTGAATTTAATCACAATCCAAACAAAGATGCTACACGTGCAGCATGAGCAGGTGCTTTATTTAAATTAATGAATAATTTCCAGACTTGGAGCATTTCACACTCGGACTGAATACTGTTTTTGCTCCATCCGAAGCACAGAGCCAGCGGACTCTCCCGGACCGCACACGAGCCCTGGTACCCGATGTGCTCAAGCGTTCAGGCATGAGTGATTCACACACACGACAAGTTTCAGTATTTGCAATTTCCAACTTTAATTTGGTAAAATCATACGATAAACACACATTTTCATTTTTCGTGCAGTGCACAGCCTCTAAACTAGTACGTAAAGCAAATACTCTAACTCTAAGGGCTCGGGTGATGTTCTCCCACACGATCAGGTGACCGAAAGCCTCGCCCATGCCCTCCACGGCTTCCACAGCGAAGGCTCTCGGCCAATCCCGTCAGAGAACACCAGCGCCCAGTATGCAAATGCAACAATAGAGAATAACCACATGTTTCTGTTACTTAAGATTGCCGTGTGCCAGACATTCACTGGGGGTAAAGACAAACAAAAAATAAAAATAAATACCGGAAAAACAAAAACAAACAAACAGAAGAACAACTGGAGAATCTGAACACTTTGCACTGATACACATTTACAAAAATATTTCTGTAACTTTTTCCCAAACCTTGGCATGGTTGTTTAGCATTCAAATCGTGGCTGCCAATTCAGAGTTCGATTGATCGGATTGAAACGTTTAGTCGGCGAGACCATTACAGATGCGAATTTTGGCGGACCGTAAACATTAAAAAGCTCACACTACCCCGAAAAATATAAACTTCACGCATACGGGTGACATTCAACATTCAAGTGCCAGTGTTTTTGTACTGTCTTTTGGTCAAGTTACTTGAAACTATCACTTTTAGGCTTATAAAAATAAATATTTCTCAAAAATGCTTAATAAATTACACAAACTAGCAGCAAAAGTAGAATCTAGTAATCTGTGCAAATAGCTAAATTCCCACTGCTAATCCCCCTGGTCCCAAATCAATCCTGGTTAACTATTGGAGAACCCTTCCCCTTTTGTAAACAAGCTGCGTTTTCACTATCTTCACACACAATATTTGGAAGCTTAAGGACACGCACTCAAGACATTTATATAAAACCCTAGATGTGCAATAAAACGACTTTTGTAAAACTTGAAGGGCGTAACACAGAAGGGCCGAGAGTAGCACCACTGCTATCAAGTCACACAATACTGTCGAAGCATCGGCTTCACGTCACCGTTTTCAAATCCATGTCGAAAGGCACAACACGCTTGAGTAAATCTATTGCACTTCAGTTAAACGCGTCCCACTCGCCCTCGGCGGACGGCGGCACACACCCGCGCGAGCGACCCAGGGCTCATGGGAGTTTGAAAGAACCTGTCTTTGGCCAGGGATGCCACGGAAACCAACCGACCGACCAATGAGAGTCTGGTTTTACACTTAGCCACACCCCTGTCGTGTACGCTGAACTCTGACCCCGGCGCGCGCTAGCCCAGGGGACGCGGAGCCGTGTAAAGCCGAGGATGTCTTTTTTCGGAATTCAACGCAGCTTGAAAAAGAGAGAAAAAAAATCTAAATCAAAAGTGAACAAACGTTACTTGTAAGGAACGTAAAAGCCTGCTGCAGAAATCGATTTGAAAATCTCCTTGACCAAAAAACAAGAACACTAGCATGCGGATTTCTTCAGAGACGAGCCGGGCGTCCGGGGCCAGGCGCTCTGACGGCGTGGTCCTCGAGCAGCCATTGAACTCTTCGCTACGGAAGTCGCCACAAGCCTCCCATTATCAACTCCAAGAATGGGTTTGGAAGGACGTACAAGAGGTTAATCCAATTGCTACATCCTAATATTTTAAAAGAAAACAAGTTAAATAAAGTAATCCAACACCACTAAACGGCTAGTGTGTGTTAGTGAACTAGCAACACCACTAAACGGCTAGTGTGTGTGTGTTAGTGAACTAGCTTAGCTGCCTCAATGGTAGAGTTACACAGCGGAGTGGCGGAGGCAGACACGGTTCATCACAACAATCAAATTTAAGATTATCATATACTGGAATGGCTTGGTTTCTTTTCTCAGAAGACTACTGTCTCTTATAGATACCTCTACAGGATAGAGTGAGCAAGCATTCGATATTTTAACTCCCTTGTGATGCGGTTTTACCACACAAGAGGGAACGAGCCAATCGGGGGGCGGGGGGAGGGGCGGGGCGTAGGGGTCAGGCCCATGTGACATCAGCACTGGTGACCCCATCAGAAATTTCAGTTCAAAACGCGGTTGCGACAGACCATCCCAGAGTTTGCCAAGGTTTGATTACATCCAAGCTTATTTTGTTATACCATCCAAAACAAAAAAGTCATTTGGGGGAGAAAACAAAGAAAGAAAAGAGAAAAGAAAAGAGGGGAAACAACTGTCAGCCAGACATTTAAAAAAAGAAGAAAAACAAACCAAAACACAGCGAGTATAAATTTAAAGGCACAGTACATTAACAAACGAATGATTCTCATTTAGTATAAAGAAATGAGATGTAGTGGAAAACTAGAGTCCGGGAACCGAAAGCAAACTCGGCTCCGCCTTCAGCACGGGTTCGGGACACTGCTTCCTGCTACGGCCAAGCCTTCGCTGTCCTGGCATCCCACAATCCCACGGGGCGAAAGCCTCTCCGGGTGGGGTCAGAGAATCACAGCTGGTAATGTACTGCAAAGTTCTTCAAAGCTACACAGGGTATATAGTCTGGCTATGGTACATCATGTGGTTTCCGTTCAGTGAGTTTGGCATGGTGATCCACTGTAATGGGGAGTGGGGTGGAGGAGGAGGAGGGGGGGGGGGGGGTCTCAGTTACCCCACCAGTCCACCTGAGAGTAGTTCCCTCCATAGCCATCACTGCTGTAGAAGTTCCCGAAGCCACCTGAGGACACACACACACACACGTTCAGATGCACTCGAGCGGTAGGCGTCACACACTCCTCTTTCCGACAGCTAATAGACTCCACTTTAGGCTCTGCTGCTCCAAATGATTAGAATGTGCTACTAAAGTCATTCAAATTGGAGTCATTATTACTTTTAGGGAGTGTTTTATCCACTTTTTAAGTGTGTGTATTGTAATATGTTAGTATGTCTCAGGACATGTAACTCTGCCAGGCTGCTGTTGATGAGAACAGTGACTCGCCTGGGTAAAGAAGCTCAACTAATGCGTCATCGCTTGTCCCAGCAAAAACAGTTGCTTGTCCGGTGTGTTGCAAATACTTATTCTGAAGCAATATTCTCATTGTTTAATCAGCTTTGATATTTAAATCCGCATATTGTAATATCTGCACCTTTAAGGGGCATTTCCCCCTAAATCTTATTAAATATATGCTTCATCTTTCATTTGAAATTCCTAAACTTGATCAATAATTCAAATTTATTAATTTATTTATACAAATTTATTTACTCGCTCCACACGCTGAATCGTTCAGGACTGAAGCCCGGTTGAGTGTAGCTGAGAGATCTGCGATGGTATTTTCACAGCTGAAACGAAGTCAATATCGCGTCTAAAATTCAAGTGACTTAATTTTTCATATGAAATCAATGTGACATTTTCAGTCATGACGGTCAGGAAAACAGCACTCGTGAGGTTGCGGAACTCATGTGTTAAAAACACAAACTGCACATTTTGAATGATCGGCAGTGTGGGGTCAGCCGAGTCGTGTGCGCTCGTGTAGATTCTCCTCGAGAGCCTCAACACAACCTCGCTACCGTCAGGATTACATTCATTATCCACTATCGATCGCAACTCACAATAAATGTAATCAAATCAGAATCACTCTCGTTTTAGTGATTCACTAGTGGTTTTTGTTATTGAGGTTTTAATCGGCTACCCGTCCGGCCGGGAGTAATTCCTTCACTTGCCCCTTCAAAAACATCCGCTAGTCCTGGACAAGCGCTAATGTCGAGCCCTGCTGTCACTCAACCAGAGTGGAAAACACAGTAGTCAACATTTGAAGTGGATCAACAAAATGTTCAAAGTTGGCTTCGATAAGAACAGATATTGTTACAAATGCATGTATAACTGATGCAAGGTTGATCCAGTTGAAGTGTTGACGCGTGTGTACTGCAGTTACCGCCAGGGTTAGGGAGGTCCGGATGAGCCTTACCGCCACCGCCGCCGAAGCCGCGGTTCCCCCCGTGGCCCCCAGTGCTGCGGCCCCCCCGGCTGCCGAAGCCGCCGCTGCTGGTGCTGTTGCTGGTCTGACGGTAGTCTCGGGCTCCAAACCCACCGGAGAACCTGAGGAACACAGAACCAGTTTAACGAGGAGTCCACGAGAAGATCATAACACTCCTGAGCAATGCCTGGCGTGTGTGTGTGTGTGTGAATATATGTGTGAGAGTGAGTAGTGTGTCTGTACGTGTGGGAGAGTGTGTATGTGTGAGTGAGTACGGATGTGTGTGTGTGTGCGTGAGCGAGTATGTACGTATGTGAGTGTGTGTGTGGTGAAGGGAAAGGGCAGGTGTGTGCGGTGTGTGTGTGGTGAGGTGAAGGGCAGGTGTGTGCGGTGTGTGTGTGGTGAGGTGAAGGGCAGGTGTGTGTGCTGACCTCTTGGAGCGCCCGCGGGTGCTGCTCTTGTGCTGGTGTTCGTAGGCCAGGCTCTCCAGCCACGACGGCACCTCCTGCTTCGCCTCCACCAGGATGTCCAGCAGGTCCTTCGTGATGTTGCCGTTCTTATCGTTGAAGAACGACGTAGCGAGACCTGTGGCGAGCACAGCGAGCACGAGTCAGACTGGGACTCACACCGCAGATGAAGCCCACACTACCAGTCTAACGTTCGGGTCGCAAGCCTTGTAATGTTTTTAAAAGCGGCCTCTTCAGCTCACCCAAGCTGCACTCGTTTCATCAAAATAAAAGCAATAGAAAACAGATTTAAATTGTAATTCACTATGTGAATATACAGTAAAGTGTAATTTATTCCTGTGATCAAAGCTGTATTTTCAGCATCATTACTCCAGTCTTCAGTGTCACATGATCCTCCAGAAATCACTCTAATATGAGGATCTGATGCTCAAGAAACATGATTATTTTTTGTATTTGTAATCAAATAAATGCAGCCTTGGTGAGCAGAAGAGCCTTCGTTTAAAGACATTAAAAATCTTACAGATCCAGAACTTCTGACGGGTAGTGTACATGCAGGAGTATCGATGATGATGATGTCATAGTTACCCAGGTTGCCCACACGGCCGGTACGCCCGATGCGATGGACGTACTCCTCGATGTCGCTCGGCAGGTCGAAGTTGATGACGTGCTTCACGTTGGAGATGTCGAGTCCGCGGGCCGCCACCTGTGGACGAGAGTGTGAGACCGGCAGCTCAGAGGTCAGAGGTCACATCTTACACCAGTGGAGTGACTCTCTAGGGTCGTCAATCACTGATGATCTTTACAGCGGAAGTGAATCATAACTTTATTCTAGAGCTGCTGTAAAGCCTAAACACTGTTACTGTAATCTCCTGTTAAAGCATGAGCAATGACATCATATTGCTGAGAAAACCCAAACGCCTGATTGAGTGTTTAGACTTTGAGGATTAAAGAGAGAGAATGGATTCTCTTCATGGCACAGTGGTCGTCCACACACATTTGAAGGCAAACAGCATATAAAAGTGCCCCGATGAGCCCTGTAACACAGGCGGAGCAAGGAAAGCCACGTACGGCGGTGGCCACGAGGATGGGGCATCTCCCGGACCGGAACTGGTGCAGCGCCTCCTCTCGGTCGCGCTGGGAGCGGTCCCCGTGGATGCTGGTGCACGCGTAACCCTCGCGGTACAGGAAGTCCTCCAGAGCGTCCGCTCCCTTTTTGGTCTCAACAAACACCAAAGTCAGAGATTCTTTACCTAGTGGACGAGATGAAGACGATGAGCACCTGAGGAAGCCCTTCAGCAGGAGCAGAAGCTAATGAATGGCAAACAGGAAGTGACAAGCATTTGGATCTCACAGAAGTGGAAGATTAAGACTAGTGCAGTTAAAGCCAATGCTGAACCTCACTGTGCTGTCCTGCTAAACGCAGATAACAGCAGTCATGTGACGTTACAGGGTGTGTTTCCCGGTCAGCGCTGGGACTCGCGGCTGCGTCGCTGAAGGAACCAACCAGCGACTCACGGCCGTTTCCTGAAACTATGGTCGTTCAGCCACGCTGGTTAATGATGTCACCGGTGTTGGGGTGATCATTACTGCTAATGAATCTGTATGAGATCGAGTTAACGCCAGATGTTTTGCTATAAATTAGACACGGCCACTGAGGAATATTTCTAATTTTTATTTTGCTTTATTTCCAGATTCACTCATGACTCGTTCTTGCGCACTAGAGCTCGTTCACACACACACACACTTCAATAACGACGCTTTCAATCTCTCGACAAACCAAAGACGTAAATGACATTAGTATGTATTCTAAATTAAAGACACAGATTGCACTGAATGTCAGATTGCTTGGGATTTATTGAGTCACGTCATGCAAACGAGAAACTGCTTCTAGCTCGAGATCTGTCGCTCACACACACAACACTGCGATGCTGTCGCTCACACACTCCTCTGCGATGCTCACACTCCTCTGCGATGCTCACACACACTCCTCTGCGATGCTCACACACACACGCTGCTGTCGCTCACACACACTCCTCTGCGATGCGGTCGCTCACACACACTCCTCTGCGATGCGGTCGCTCACACACACACACCTCTGCGATGCTCACACACACACGATGCTGTCGCTCACACACACTCTGCGATGCGGTCGCTCACACACACTCCTCTGTGATGCGGTCGCTCACACACACTCCTCTGTGATGCTGTCGCTCACACACACTCTGCGATGCGGTCGCTCACACACACTCCTCTGTGATGCTGTCGCTCACACACACTCTGCGATGCGGTCGCTCACACACACTCCTCTGCGATGCGGTCGCTCACACACACTCCTCTGTGATGCTGTCGCTCACACACACTCCTCTGCGATGCCGTCGCTCACACACACTCCTCTGCGATGCTCACACACACGCTGCTGTCGCTCACACACACTCCTCTGCGATGCTCACACTCCTCTGCGATGCTCACACACACGCTGCTGTCGCTCACACACACTCCTCTGCGATGCGGTCGCTCACACACACACACCTCTGCGATGCTCACACACACACGATGCTGTCGCTCACACACACTCTGCGATGCGGTCGCTCACACACACTCCTCTGTGATGCGGTCGCTCACACACACTCCTCTGTGATGCTGTCGCTCACACACACTCTGCGATGCGGTCGCTCACACACACTCCTCTGTGATGCTGTCGCTCACACACACTCTGCGATGCGGTCGCTCACACACACTCCTCTGCGATGCGGTCGCTCACACACACACACCTCTGCGATGCTCACACACACACGATGCTGTCGCTCACACACACTCTGCGATGCGGTCGCTCACACACACTCCTCTGTGATGCGGTCGCTCACACACACTCCTCTGTGATGCTGTCGCTCACACACACTCTGCGATGCGGTCGCTCACACACACTCTGCGATGCGGTCGCTCACACACACTCCTCTGTGATGCTGTCGCTCACACACACTCTGCGATGCGGTCGCTCACACACACTCTGCGATGCGGTCGCTCACACACACTCCTCTGCGATGCGGTCGCTCACACACACACACCTCTGCGATGCTCACACACACTCTGCGATGCGGTCGCTCACACACACTCCTCTGTGATGCGGTCGCTCACACACACTCCTCTGTGATGCTGTCGCTCACACACACTCTGCGATGCGGTCGCTCACACACACTCTGCGATGCGGTCGCTCACACACACTCCTCTGTGATGCTGTCGCTCACACACACTCTGCGATGCGGTCGCTCACACACACTCCTCTGCGATGCGGTCGCTCACACACTCCTCTGTGATGCTGTCGCTCACACACACTCTGCGATGCGGTCGCTCACACACACTCCTCTGCGATGCGGTCGCTCACACACTCCTCTGCGATGCGGTCGCTCACACACACTCCTCTGCGATGCGGTCGCTCACACACTCCTCTGCGATGCTGTCGCTCACACACACTCCTCTGCGATGCTGTCGCTCACACACTCCTCTGCGATGCGGTCGCTCACACACACTCCTCTGCGATGCGGTCGCTCACACACACTCCTCTGCGATGCGGTCGCTCACACACTCCTCTGCGATGCTGTCGCTCACACACTCCTCTGCGATGCTGTCGCTCACACACACTCCTCTGCGATGCGGTCGCTCACACACACTCCTCTGCGATGCTGTCGCTCACACACACTCTGCGATGCGGTCGCTCACACACTCCTCTGCGATGCGGTCGCTCACACACTCCTCTGCGATGCGGTCGCTCACACACTCCTCTGCGATGCGGTCGCTCACACACACTCCTCTGCGATGCGGTCGCTCACACACACTCCTCTGCGATGCGGTCGCTCACACACTCCTCTGCGATGCGGTCGCTCACACACTCCTCTGCGATGCGGTCGCTCACACACACTCTGCGATGCGGTCGCTCACACACACTCCTCTGCGATGCGGTCGCTCACACACTCCTCTGCGATGCGGTCGCTCACACACTCCTCTGCGATGCTCACACACACGCTGCTGTCGCTCACACACACTCCTCTGCGATGCGGTCGCTCACACACACTCTGCGATGCGGTCGCTCACACACACTCCTCTGCGATGCGGTCGCTCACACACACTCCTCTGTGATGCGGTCGCTCACACACACTCCTCTGCGATGCGGTCGCTCACACACACTCTGCGATGCGGTCGCTCACACACACTCCTCTGCGATGCGGTCGCTCACACACACTCTGCGATGCGGTCGCTCACACACACTCCTCTGCGATGCGGTCGCTCACACACACTCCTCTGCGATGCGGTCGCTCACACACACTCTGCGATGCTCACACACTCCTCTGCGATGCGGTCGCTCACACACACTCCTCTGCGATGCGGTCGCTCACACACACTCCTCTGCGATGCGGTCGCTCACACACACTCCTCTGCGATGCTCACACACTCCTCTGCGATGCGGTCGCTCACACACACTCCTCTGCGATGCTGTCGCTCACACACACTCCTCTGCGATGCGGTCGCTCACACACACTCCTCTGCGATGCTCACACACTCCTCTGCGATGCGGTCGCTCACACACACTCCTCTGCGATGCGGTCGCTCACACACACTCTGCGATGCGGTCGCTCACACACACTCCTCTGCGATGCTGTTTGCGAATGTTTGCTGTAACTACGACTCGCTGAACTGCTGATAACGACGGAGCTTGTGACCATAGTTGGCTCACGATTAGGGGTCGACCGATTATCGGCGCCAATATCAAGCATTTTTATGGTTATCGGTATCGGCCATTTTCAAAACAGATTTGCCGATAAAATAATTTTATTTTGAAATGCGCTATATTTGGCTCTGACGCAGCCACCTTTGTCGGAACTCACCGCTCTGTAGACTAGACTAATGTCCCCGAACATCTGATTTGTTGGGAGTCACGAGTCCGGCCAATCAGCACGGAGAGCTGAGGCACTGAAAGTGTTGCACTCTCACACCGAGACTGGCTGACTAGAGCTGCTTCACTGATCATCAGTTGTCTCTCAAAGTTAAGGCAGCAGCAGACTTCACTGAAGAAGCAATAGATTACTACACTGAAGTTGCAAAATACCTCAATATAATAGAGCCCTGTGATTTCCGCGATGCAGAACAGACGGAGTCCCGGAATCCAGTCATGAAAACGGAATTTACAGTATAAAGCGGAATATCACGGAATTTGTCAACTTTTTGATGAATTAATAAAAAGCAGGTCATTACAAATCAAACCGCAAAAGGACTATTTAAATATGAATCCTGCGTGTCTCTAACGTTAAATGAATGGCGCAGAGACGCGTGATTTCAGTTACCACACACACACACACACACACACACTGGAGCACGCGTGACGCTTGCGCTGTTTTCAGCCTCAGCCGCATCATTATATGAGGACATGATTGCATAAACATCATCTCCAGAGACGCTCAGTCACTTCATGAGCTTTTTAATGCTTCAACTGAGAAAAGTTAGACATATCATAAACACAAAAACTCAAAGATCTCCACGGCAACCCGTCAAAATAAAAGTTCGGTTTTTCACAAGGCCCTAAAAATTTAATTTTTGTTAAACTGTAAATAAATTGAATAAGTTTGATTTTAATTCATTAGAAATGCTTTTTGATTACTAAAATTTTATTTAAAAATTAAAATAGAGTCTTTAAGTTTTACAAAATGTTTACAGAATGCTGCTGGGTGCTCCCTGCACTTTATACAAGTTATTATTATTAATAACAGTTCTCAGATTCAAAGATATGTTTAAAATCATTTAAAGAAAGTATTTGTCAAAACCCTTTGTTATTCTTAATTTTGACATTAATTTACAGTTTTACACCAGACATAGCTATAATATATATATATATATATATATATATATATATATATATCGGTTCAAAATATCGGTTATCGGTCTATTTGACCTGTAATAATCGGTATCAGCCCTGAAAATCACATATCGGTCGACCCCTAGTCACGATGCTTTGGGAAACACACCCCAGTTCAGCACGGCACACACACTTCATGCACAGATCCAGCTGAAGGAACCAACCACTGGAAAGGAGCATGGGGGGGGGGGGGGGGGGTCAAATAAAGGATCCTAACACCATACGAGAACTACATCTCATTTGACATGGCAAAAGGGGTTGGAAAACAAACAATGTTCAAGCAAAATAAAGAGGTGACATGAGACTTGCATTTGTTCCACTTCCCGTGGAGAGATAAACGTCTCTACTCACCAGGTTTTTCTACGTTCTCCCCCGTATTGTCCTGAACCTCACTCGGAATAACTAAATAGAATCAGACCTTATGATGAGCTTCAACAAATATCAGTTTCATTCTAGGTATGGCATACATGGGTTCAGATGAAGCTCTACTGCACTATGGGAGGACCGTACAGAGACTGAACATCTAAAGCACTGAAAACTCTTCATATTCAGCAGTATTACCCAGCCTGCACTGGCACTGCTGGACGAGCAGGGCGATGACATCACTGCAGATCTGAACTCATTCTATAACTGATGTACTTCACACTGTTATTGAACCAAACATACACTGATCTGACTTACAATTACTGTTGATTTTTTAGAGCTGAACTCGGTTTGAATCATTGAATTGTTATTTTCCTGTTTCATCACCGTAAAAAATCTGCATTATATGAAGTGCTAAATAACTATAGGTGACTGGATCTGTGGCCTGATCTCCCTGAACTTCACAATACTGGTGTTTAGAGCAGTGTTTCCCAACCCTGCTCCTTGAGGCACACCAACAGTGCACATTTTGGATGTCTCCCTTTTCTGACCCATATATTTCTGGTCTTGGAGTGTCTACTAACGAGCTGATGAGTTGATTCAGGTGTGATCGATTAGGAAGAGTTGGAAAATGTGTAGTGTTGGTGTGCCTCCAGGAACAGGGTTGGGAAACACTGGTTTAGAGGGCCATTTCATATTACACTGAAACCCAAGAGCCCTCAGCAGAGATTACTTTACTGAGACCTCCTCAATATGAGGCGTGTGGAGCAGAGCCGTCATGGCCACCTGAGCGGACCACACGCCCGGAGCCGCCCGAGCTCTGGACATCAGGGCAGAGACACGTACCTGTGGCGTTCAGCAAGTCAAGGAGGAAGGACCTCTTGTCGTTTTCCTCCACCCACACCACCTTCTGTGTGATGTTCTCCGAGGTGGACCCGACCCGGCCCACCGCCAGGAAGATGTACTCCTCCAGGAAGTCACGAGCCAAGATCTGAGGAACATTAGAACACCATAACGAACCGTCCAAGAAACCCGAGTCTCAGTGTCCACACTGTCCATCCTACACCGTACGCCAGATTAAAATAAGTGTCACAAAGTATAGTGTTGAATAGTGTGGCCGGAACGTCTACTATTCCCGGTGGATTATCGAAGTGTGGATATTACCCACAACCCATTGTGCTTTGGAGGAGAAACTACAAACACAAGTAAAAAAAAAAAAAAAAAAAAAAAAAAAAACACACTACAAAACATGGCGGATATGCGCGACCGACGGTGAGAGGTTTAGATAAAGGTTTGAGCGACTCAGTTTATACTGATAATAAAATATTAATGTTATTCGTATGATATTTTTATAAGTTTTAAATGCCTCGGGTCTGCAGATCAACGTGCTTCTGTATTTCTCTGATACAGTAGGAAATAAGAGGATTTTAACAGATGATTGACAGGTCAGTTTGCGTGACAGGGCAACCATTAAACACGCAACTGTATGACGTGACACATTTACATTTATGCATTTGGCAGACGCTTTTATCCAAAGCGACTTACAATGCATTTCAAGCTACACATTTACATTCTTATCAGTTCTAGCTTTCCCTGGGAATCGAACCCATGACCGTGACGTTGCAAGCGCCGGCGCTCTACTGTTTGAGCTGCAGGAAAGCTATAGCAGGACATCCCGAGACTCACCTGGATCTCCTTGGGGAAGGTGGCGCTGAACATCATGGTCTGTCGGAGGCCTTTGGGAGGCATGGTGTCCTGCTCCACGATACGCCGGATCTGTGGCTCGAAGCCCATGTCCAGCATGCGGTCCGCTTCGTCCAGAACTAGGTAACTAGAGACAGAAACAGCTCACGGTCAAGCCACAGACAGATGTGACCCGATGAGGGGATACGTGACCCGGACCACAGACCCAGTCTCGGGTCGCGCGGTACATCTGTGGCCATAGCAACAACACTGTACGGGTCAAAGTTATAGATTTTTCTTTTATGCCAAAAATCATTAGGATATTAAGTAAAGATCATGTTCCAATAAGATATTGTAAATTTTCTACTGTAAATATATAAAACATTTATTTCTGTGAGTGAATGCAGCAAATCATGGACATTAATGACCAACTTTACAGGGGATTTTCTCAATGTTTAGATTTTTTTGCACCGTCAGATTCCAGATGTTCAAATAGTTGCATCTCGGCCAAATATTAATGTCCTAACCTAACAAACCATACATCAATGGAAAGCTTATTTATTCAGCTTTCAGTCGATGTATATATCTTAATTAAAAAGAAAATGGCCCCATGGGCAGATGCTTGACGTACTTGCAGTAGTCCATGCCGATCTTGCCCCGCTCCATCATGTCCACGAGCCGGCCCGGCGTGGCCACGAGCAGATGACAGCCTCGCTCCAGGTCCCGGATCTGCTGGCCGATGTCAGCGCCGCCGTACACCACACAGGGCCGCACCAGAGACCGGTACGCAAACTGGAGGAGACGCCAGGGTTAGACCGCTCAACTGACCCTAGTCTAATGACATCAGGCTAGGGAATCATTTTAACGATTCCAATTCTCAATTCCAATAAGGTATAAAAAAAAAAGATACCATTCACATTTAGTCATATTGCAAAACATTTAATTGTATATTAATATCATGAACACAAATCATCAGCTAAAGAACACTTACAGGAGCGTTTGCCTGTGGTTTAAAAACACTAGAGAAACAACTAGCCGAACTAATGTAAATATCAAGCATTATTAAAGTAAACACTCAGTAATTAAACAAATATAAATTAGCAAATCACAACAAATAGACAACTGAAGAAATATAAGATTGAAACAAACAGTGTTTTAAGATTTAGGTGTTTGGGGCAGAAACTAATCGAATGTAAAATAACACTGCACTTTATTAATAAAATATACATTACAAATAGAGTTACAGAAGTTTTTCAGTGAAGAACGAGTGTGTGTTCTCCGTCTTCTGTTGTGTGATTTAGGGCTGGTCTGAATACCATTTTTTGAGCCTCGGTAGTAATGAACATCGAATATTCGAAGCTTCGGAATCTCTCTATGTCTGTCTGTCCGCTTGCATTTTGGTCATTTCGAGAACCGTTCATCCAAACGACTTCACAAGGAGTGCAGTGTCGTATTTGGTGCAATATAGATAGACAGGCGAGACACGTTCAGAATTAATAACCTTATTAAACTACAGAACAGCGCAAGCGGGAAGCGGCGCGCCTCACGCGAGCAGAGCTTTTGCTCCGAGAACGGACACTGCATTAGTGATATAAAACACACACAGGTCTGTTAACTTAAATATTAGACTACCTTATTAAAAATATTCCTTAAGTTAACAGACCTGTGTGTTTTATATCACTAGTGCGAGCAGAGTCCGTTCTCGGAGCATATAAGCCCTGCTCGCGTGAGGCGCGCCGCTTCTTTAAATCTACCCTACTTTGTCAGTAATTTGTTAGTGAGAAAAATATTAGACTACCTTATTAAAAATATTGTCTTATAATATTTTTCTCACTGACAAAGTAGGGTAGATTTAAACAAATAAAAACAAAATTTAAATAAAGAAAAAACGAAAAATAAATAAACGAACTAAATAAAGAACACGGTAGCAATAACAATAACATCACAAATTTAAATTTATATTTCACAGTAGATTAATTTAGATTGATAATAACGGGTAAAAAGGATAATACATTGTGTTTCTATTATTCTATTTTCCACAATGTCAAAGCAACGCAGCTTAACCCAAAACACAAGCTCAGGCACTTCTGTCCACACACACTCCGCTGTTCTGCTCTAGCCAGAGAACACTCCCGTTGCAGGAACACTTTTAGTAGTCCAAGAAAAAGCAAATATATTTATGAAGTAGTTATATGTTAAGTATTATATTTCACCAGATTTTATAGTGTAAAACATATTCAAGCGAGAATGAGAACAGTTTCGAGGGGGTTGCCAGGTGTGCAAAACCCCCCCCCTGAATATTCAAATGTTACATTTTCAAATCGAATACCAACCCACCGAACGAATATTCGGGTCCAGCCCTAGTGCGATTAGTGTTATTAAAGACACAGCAAGAGTATTAGTGCTGTCACTGTGTGTGCATTTTATTACTTTAAACACACCATAAAGGAATCGATAAGAGGAACCAAATTAATTTTATAACAAGTATCCGATTCGCCACTCTCGTGGTGGTTTACCTTCCTGGCCTCGTCGTAGATCTGGAGCGCCAGCTCTCGTGTCGGGGCTAACACCAGGGAGATGGGATACTGCTTACGCCGGCCATACTTCCCGTTTTCCTGAGGACAAGAACACACCCAGTTCAGACCTGTTAACACCAAGACATTTCTTGACCCGTTCCCGGACAGACGAGTCGGTACCTGTGCGCTGTTCTTGGCCGCCTGCAGCGCTTCTCCCGGGCCCTCGGTGTAGATCTGGCTCAGAACCGGCAACAGGAACGCCGCGGTCTTACCAGAACCTACAGGCACAAACACGTGTCAATCGAGTGCGGTGTACCACACACACACACACACACACACACACAAGCTGACGTCTGACCTGTCTGTGCGCACGCCATCAGATCTCTCTTGGACTTGATGATGGGAATGGCGTACTTCTGGACCGGAGTGGGTCGTGTGTAGCGGCTCAGGGCGATGTTACCCATAATGATCTCGCCCATCTCCAAATCTTGGAACTATCACCAAAAAACAGAGAGATGTTAAATTAAAACCAAACCATTAATTCCCAATTGAACGGTGCAGGAGATCTTCAGGCCACTCACGCTCTCGATGTGCTGTGGGCAGTTCTGGCCTGTGGCTTCGACAGGAATGTCATCATATTTCTCAAAGTTAATCCCGGTGTTGCTGGCAGCGAACAGCTCACTGCGAGAAACCGGAAACAAGCGTCAGGCAAAGCACCGCTTGGGTTTAAACCCAATGCAACGTCCAGTTCATATCAATGGATGCATGTGCAAGACTAGCACATATGAGCACCATAACTACCTCATTCCGTCGCTCTTTGATGAATTATTAAAAATTCTATTAGCCATTAGAAAACAAAGAGGGAAAATGAAATTGCTTAATGGAGGAAAAAACTACGTGACACACAGGAAACAGGATTTGTGTTTGAGGGTTAGGGAAGTGGAAGACGTCACATCAACACTCACTGTTCCTGGCGCTCGTTGGGAGGCAGCGGCTTGGACCAGTCCTCTTCATCCCGGGAGTCTTCTCCCCAGCGGCTGTTGCCACCGCCCCCGAAGCCGCCGCGCTCGTACCTGCCGGACACACACACGCTTCAGGCCTGTACACACTCCGATTTCACACTGAGACGGTGCTTTTATTAATGTAAACGCTCTCCAAAGTGGGTAAAGAGCTGCTGTGGTGTGGACTGCCAAACAGAGGTCTTTACAAACGATGATGTAAGTTTAGTCATGTGACGCATCTACTGTACCAATAGATATTCATGTTTATAGCGGTACTGTGCGGTTCACTTCCACACCGTTGCTGAAATATGTTCTTCATATCAATGACAGAATTCACTCACGTTAGCTGTCCTGCGGGAGAACATTAGCAGTGGCGTTTCAGACCAAACACACACTGGCGAGCGAGTGGCCTGACCATCGGTGAACGCAGAGATATTCTGATAAATGAAATGATCCTGCCAGAAGAATTGCGCGACAACACTTTATTTCCCCGTCTGCATCATCTCAGCGCTTCTGTGAGGGCTTACACACGCGCAGTCAAGGGGAGTTTAGCGTTTGAGAGTTTCTCATCCGCACTGAAACGTCCTAGTAGTGTGGATGGAGAGCGTTTATAAACAAAAACGCCGTTTTCAAATGTATCCGGATAAATGTAGCCTGAGCTAAAGCTAGGAGCGACAGACTCCTGTAACATGCTGAAGAGGAGTGAAGAGGTCTTACCGGCCCCTGGAAGAAGAGCCGCGGTCGTTGAAGAAAGAGGACTTGCCCCGGTCAGAGCGCCCACCGAAGCTGTTGTACGCCGCGTCTTTAGGGGCGTTCCACCCACCGCCATCTGTCATGACCACACACACACACACACACATCAGAACACGGCAGGTAACGCAAGTCATCAACTCACATTCATTTATAAAGCGCTTTACAACACCGTTTCAAAGCAGCTTCACAGAGATAACAGGAAAATAATGCAACAGTCCAGCTTAAAGGTGTCATGTGACCCTTACGGAGAGACTGAACCTGGACACTTCTGAATGTTAGTGGAGACGTTTATGTAGCTGTGGAGTTACACTGATCATCTCATCATGATGTTTAACTCTTACACAAGTGTCCAGTTCCCCGCCAGAGCGGTTTCAGGCTTTGCTGGATCTTCTGCCATGCGTGAGAACTGGTCTCTGGTGGCGCTCGCCGAACCGAATGGAAACGTGCAGATTAAGGGCCGGGAATATTATGATAAGATCCTCTTCATACGGCAGAAGGGGAGGAAATCTGAAGGGCTTATTTTAGACAGAAAGGCTCAGCAGAACACGGTTACTGGGTTTCAGGTTTTCTGTGTCGGTAGAAGCGCCGGATTACAGCACTTCCACAGGGAAGGACAGATTACCATGATATGTCCCTTTAAGTTAGTTTAGCGATGGTTCATTTTTGTTGTAAAAAAGTTCTTAGTTTATATATACAGCGGCTCTGGAGAAACAGTGATGTCATCGTCCAGCTCAGCTCTCATATAATGCTGTCAATGCAGGAGATCAATATTGCTGAATATTAAACTAAGCAAGACAAAAGCCAAAGGCGACAGAGGAACCGAAACTCCATCAGGGACAGAATGGAGGAAACCAGACTGAGTCTCAGCTCTGGCCGACGAACAACAGTGTGTGATTATGATTGAGGTCAGAGGTCATAAGACATGCCTGCGCTCTGCAGAGTCTGGATGGGGTTGAAGGATCCGCCGGGTTTGCCCCTGAACCCTCCTCTTCCCCCGCGGTCGGTGCGCATCGGCCCGCGCCCGAACCCGTTCCCTCCGTTCATACGGGGCCCGTCGTGGAAGCCGTTCACGAAGCCGTTGCTGCGGCCGTTATCCCATCCTCCGGGGGAATCTGAGAGAGAGGAGAGCACGGGTTATTGCACACCGGACACACGTCTTCAGCCGCTGCAGCCGGAGCGAGAGAGGAGCATTCTGGGACGCAGAGGCGCACGCAAGCAGTTAGTACAGCAGGAGCAGTGCGCTCCACTCCGCCGCCCTCACACTGTGCAAATGCAGAAATCAAAGCAAAGCAAATATGTCCGAGTCTGCGTGATCTTGGAGACAAACGACAAAATAACCTGTTAGTTACGATTCCAAGTGTGTGCCGAGAACTACGTGTGGACTCATGCATCTCTGAGCACTTCTCCCCTCAGCTGAGGCTGTCAGAAGAGACACTTACAGCTAGCGGGCGCCACTGGGACGCCACTGTCTACCAGAGGAACTCGCGCCTGCTAAGAGAAGAGACGTGCGGTCAGGAGGACACGGGCCAGGGGGACTAAAGGTCAAAGGGCGGAGAGACACGGCCAGTGCGTTTCAGACAAGCTCTGGTGGAGTTTCAGAAGCAGGTCTGAGCTTCACATGCCAGCACAGCGATCCCTCGTGTGATTGGACAGAGGGTGAGGCACAGCCGCCCGGAAGCGCCCGTGGAAAACCACGGTTGTGTTTTCAGATGTGAACATGAAGACGAGGGCAGCTGTAGGGCACTAGATGCACGTCACACACGGATAACCCTACACACACGCTGAGCCACAAGTGGGATTTAAATGTTAGACAATTACAAGTTTTTCACGGCATTGGAGTTTTGCGAGGGCTAAAGATCGTTCACACAGAATAGCTATAGTAGTCAACACTGTAAGTGGATCAAAAAAGTGCATCAAAGTTGTCCTGAGGCAAGAACGGGCACTGCTCCAAACTCATGTTTAACTTTGATGAAAGGTTTTGATCCACAGATGTTGACGCCCGTCCACACAATAACATGTGTGGCTTGTTAAAGGATTCTGATTGGCAGTCAATGTTTATATCATTCATCAACTGGAAAAAAGCGAAAAAACACTATAGTCTCTGTGCCGATATGGTTATGCACTGCTATTCTTTTACATTTACAAAGATTTTTAAAACAATATCTTTCTCATTATAGATGTGAACTACTAGATGTAACGGGGCACTTCAACATCAGCAGCGCAGAGGAGGTGTACGTACCGTTTTTGGGACCTTCTTTGTTCCTTAAATGAGGTGGAATGTAACGCCCTGGTGAAGGACAGACTTTGTTAGCATGGCAAACACACACATTACTTCATCTAGAGTTAATCACTTCCTGGGCTTGAACGGCATGATTAAACAAGATGTCAGAGCTGATCTGAAACGGGTCTAAGATGCAGATACTCACTTCCAGGGATTCCTTCAGCGTTGTTCAAGTCTAGCACAGCGAGCTGAAAGAGAAACGAGATGAAACCATAAACACCTGAACCGGGTCATCGAGAAAAGCGAATAACGTCACTTCCGGCAGAGGGCGCGCGAGAGCTCGGGCTCATTCAGCACAAAAGATCACGGAGGACAAACAACAAATTTATCATTTAACGTCATCAAAAACACTAATTTACTCGAACCCTTCCTGTAGAGTAAGTTGTAAATTGGTTTAGACAACTGCATGTCAAGCACAAAGCTGATTAACAGAAATTAATACCGCCACATCCAAATTAAAAAACCGAAACCCGAGCCGAAAGACAGAATAAAAGCCGAGTGTCGCTGAGGTAAATTACGCCACTAACGTTCACAACACACCTTTAACACGCGTCATGCCTTAATTCAACACGAACTAAACAGATTATTTATTATTAATGACTTGTCAAATTATATTAATAACCTTAGAAGATTCTGAATGTTTCAGTCGAGATATTCATGTCTGTTTGCGTTCATCTAACGTACAGAATATTAAAGTATATTACGACATGAAATGACAGCGAATATAAACCTTGATAGCAAATGCAGTGAAACGGGGAACTGGTCAGACAAAGGCCCAGAAGAAGCTAAACAACAGGCCCGAGCGTCTCTCAAATCCGCCAGATTAAAGTTTCTCCTCGCGGGATTTAATGTGTCCGAACGACATCATAATCTACACACACATCCATATTTGAAACACGCAATCCTCCCGAAACCCTCTAATGGAGCATCACATGAACACTGCGATGAAACGCAGCGGCGCGTGACGAATAAACGCTCCGCGTTCCGACGCGCCGCATCTCCGCCATCATCCGCGCATCGACAGCAGCGCCTCCATCTTAAACACGCAGCGCGGCTTCAGCGTCACCTCAACCCGCCCGAAACTGCCCGAACCCCCGCGATGGACCCCGGCTCACCTGCTGGTCTAGACCGTGTACATTCTCGACGGCCACATGACTCATAACTAACGAGTGGTGAAGGTTGATCTCGCGCAAAAACAGGGTTCTTTGTTTGCCGGTATGTTGCTCGTGCTCGCGCTGCTCGTGTCCGGTGATTCCTCTCTCGACGCCGGTCGGTCAGACTTATAACTTTGAGGAAAAAAAATGAAAGAAAAACGGTTTATTCCACAAAACGTAAACGTTGCTTTAAAATGAAACGTGTCGGTTTGAGTTTTCGTCCGTGTGTGTGAAAGTGTTGCGCGTCGAACTCGAGCTGCGCGTCTCTATCGGTCTGAGGGTGAAATAAGAGCGCAGCGGAAACCGCGTCACTTTATTGGACGACGCGAGACGACAGATCTCACCGCGTGACGCGTTCTCGCGAGACTTCGAGGAGCGACGCCACATTGATCTGTTTACAGTAGTGAATGCGGCCTAGTGGCGATTATAAAGTTTATCTCCATAATCTGTCAGCCATTTAACGCGCGCATTTTGTCTTTTAAAGTCCCCCTCCTGCAAACAGGGTTAATTTGCTCTAGAAGCGCGCGTCCGTAGTTTTGATCTACTACAGGACACGCGCACTAGAGCCGAGGAATGCATGAGTTAATAGCATGAACCGTGAATGCGGTGTCAGTGCTTCGGATAAATGCCAAATTCATGTAAATATGAGCAAACATGACTTGCCTTCTGTTAGAATGCGTTTGCAAGTATCAGTGTGTGTGTCTTCCATCAGGGCATGTGTGTGTGTGGTGTAAATTCATGTTAAAAGTGCTGTCCACTCGCTTAATGAAGCATTTCACTAGAATTATGAATTCTCCAAAAACATGGAGCTGCATTAAAACTGCCTGCTACTTAAATGCCAGAACATGATGCTTTAAAACACATTAAACTACAGGCCTTTTTTGCCTTTGTCTTGCTTTGGGTACATTTAATTTAATATTCAGCAATATTATTGATGGACTGCATTATATGAGAGCTGAGCTGAACTGGACGATGACATCACTGTGTTCTCCAGAGCGCTGTATATATAAATGAACTAAATTAATAACCTTCTTACAACAGAAATGAACCATCTCTGAACTTGGACTGACGCTATTCTCTTCTGGAAATAAACTGAGTTGCATTATTGTCCTGTTA